ACTGAAGATTCAAAATCGTTAACAGCTTTCACCATTCCCGGTAGACCTCTCTACCAGTTCGTTGTAATGCCGTTCGGGCTTTGTAACGCGCCGGCAACCATGTGTAGGCTTGTAGACGAACTCATACCCCCTGACTTACGAAACTGTGTATTTGAATATCTTGATGATTTGATTGTGGTATCTGAAGATTTCAATAATCATATCACGGTATTAGTTAGACTAGCGGATCAACTTAGAAAGGCCAACCTTACCCTCAATATTGCGAAATCGCAGTTCTGTGTAACAGAGGCTTATTACCTCGGTTATGTAATTGGGAATGGAGGTATCAAAACCGATCCACAAAAGATTAACTCGATTTTGAACGGCCAATCCCCAAGAATATTAAGCAGGTACGAGGACTCATAGGTTTGGCAGGTTGGTATCGTCGTTTCGTACCTAATTTTCTACCATTGTTTTCCCGATCACGGAAATATTATCCACGAAACGAAAGTTTAAGTGGACCAGTGAGGCGCAGGAAGCTTTCGATAGGCACAAACAACTTCTCACCAGTGCACCCATTCTCTCCAATCCAGACTTCACAAAGAAGTTCTTCTTGCACTGTGACGCCAGCGATTTTGGCATTGGTGCAGTACTTGTGCAGCTGGATGAGGACAATAATGAAAAACCCATAGCTTTTATGTCGCGGATACTGACCTCGGCGCAACGGAACTACAGCGTGACCGAGCGTGAATGCTTGGCAGCTGTAAAGGCCATAAAAAAATTCCGTTGTTATCTCGAACTCCAGGAGTTTGAGATAAAAACAGACCATTCGTCGTTGCTATGGCTAATGCGGCAACCGGACTTGACCGGACGATTAGCGAGATGGGTTTTCAAACTACAGGGGTTTAAGTTTACCATCCGACACAGAACAGGAAAAGAGCATGTGGTGCCTGACGCTCTGTCCAGAATACCTGGTGGTGAAATTGCCTCTATTAAAATAACCGAGCTGGAAATCGACCTATCATCTCCGCAATTTGACAGTGAGGAATATAAGAACTTGCGTGCCAAAATACAAAAGGATATGTCTAAATATCCCGATGTTAAAATAATAGATCAATGCATTTATAAACGCACAGACCACTATAGAGGACATGAGGACCAAGAAAATGAATGTTGGAAGCTGTGGATTCCCAGAGAATTAAGGGATGAGGTTATATTTAGAGCTCACAATTCCGCTATTTCCGCCCAATGTGAAATTGTGAAAACTTTGGATCTAATCCGCAGAAATTTCTTTTGGCCAGGATTGGTACAAGATGTACGAAAATACATTCGATCTTGAGATGTGTGTAAAACGTCGAAAGCCCCGAATTTCATTTTGAAACCAGAAATGGGTTCGTCTGTTGAAACCTCTAGACCCTTTCAGCGAATGTATATAGATATATTAGGCCCGTATCCGCGTACCAAGCGAGGATATATAGGAATTTTGATTATATTGGATCATCTAACCAAGTTTCATTGGTTATGTCCACTTAAAAAAATTACTTCCTCTGGCATTGTCGATATATTGTTGAAACAGATGTTCCATATATATGGTGTACCCGAAACACTAATGAGTGACAACGGGTCACAATTTAAAGCCAACGATTTCAATGCATTTTTGACTTCTCTAGGTATAAAACATGTTTTCACGGCTTTATACTCTCCACAATCAAATGCTTCGGAACGTGAAAACCGTTCCATAATCGCTGGAATTCGAAGTTATTTACATAAAGATCACACTTTATGGGACCAACAACTGAGTTTTATTAGTTGCTCGTTAAGGAACACCATTAAATGTTCCCCGTGTAGGGCACTTTTTGGACTTGATATGGTTACCCGTGGGAGTTCATACAAAATCCTTAGGACTTTGGATAGCCTCAATGAACCAAGTGTCAAAATAAGTCGTGAAGATGAACTTCAAATAATGAGAGTCAAGTTACGGGAACACATAGCTCAAGCACATGAGATAAACGCTAAACAATATAATTTACGATCCCGACCCATCTCATATAAAGTAGGTGATGAGGTTTTCCGAAGAAATTTTGCTCATAGTTTTCAAATTAAGAAATTTTACTCGAAATTGGCACCATTATTTATCAAGGCGAATGTGAAAGAGAAAATTGGCAATAATTATTACGTGTTACAGGACATTGACAGTAATAATACGGGAACATGCCATGCTAAAGATATGCGCCCCTAAGACATAGTTCCCCTCCTAATACTACCACGATGTAGTAGTATTATGTGGTTTGTAATGTCAATTCCCCTATGTCATTATTTCTTATATTTTAAAACCCGGTTTTTAACGTACTATTAACTATTATATAGTACTGTACACACTGTATCTTTACACCAACCAACAACACGAAATAATCATTATTCATTCAATAACTACCTGGTTCTTAGCTGACATATCGCGTAGGCATCGTGACGACGATGATAGACTCTTAAATTCTTTTCATCTGTGACCTCCCTCGAGTTAACTTGAACTTTTTGTAATACAACACACAATTATTATTGAATATAGTATTGCTAAAGTAAAGTCCAATAAATTTTTTACGGAATCTTTAAAATTTTCACAACTGAAATAAAGCGCAGTATTTGAAGCAGGTAACAAAAAATATATATAAATGTCATTCCGTTTGTAACTCCTCGAAATACTCATGTCAGACCCAACAAAGTATATATTTTCTTGATCAGCGTAAAATGCTAAGTCGCGTCTGTCTGTCCGTCCGTCTGTCTGTCTGTCAGTCTGTCCGTCTGTCTGTCCGTCTGTCTTTTGTAATCACACTATCTTTCGAATGAATTGAGATAGATGGCTAAAATTTTGCACACATGTTTAGTTTTCCAGTGGGCAGGTTAAGTTCGTGAATGGGCCATGTAGGTCCACGTTTTCATATAGCCCCCATATAACGGTACCTCCCGATATTCGGTATTTTTAAGATTTTAGCGACATTATTCACCGGAATTGTTTCAAATTTGGTATTTGAAGTTCGAATTGGATACTACACCCTAAGACAGAAAATTGTCTATGCTGGTCCAGGTCTTCGTATAGGCCACAAATATCAGTACATCCCTATATTCGGTATTTTGACGATTTTAGGTACAATACCCACCAAAATTGTTTGAGATGTGGTATTTGAAGTTCGTAATGGATGCTACAGCTTGTGACAGAAAATTTTCTATTCAGGTCCAGGTTTTTGCACAGCTCCGATATAACGGTACCTCCCTATATAAGATATTTTGATGATTTTAGCTACATTATTCATTTCAAGTTTCGAATTTAAATATGGTAATGGCTTATGACAAACAATGCCTATGCAGCTCCACGTCATATAGACCCTAATAGACGGCTATATTCGGTATTTTTAAAAGTTTAACAGAATTTTTTAAGAATTTTATTTCTTGCAAATATCCAAATTCGTTCCAAATGGTGGAGGGTATTAAAAGTTCGGCCCGGCCGAACTTACTGCTTTTCAACTTGTTTTTATTTATTTATTTTTTTTTTTTTGTTTTCATCTTCAGCATACTTAACCTTTTAATTCAAAACCCGCGTGGCTAATTTGAAAAGGTTAGAAACACGGGACTCTCAGAGCGAGTGCCGGGGTTTTCGAAGGGTATTATGTACACGTTGCAGTTCCAAAGTAGCCATCTGTAAGACCTACCAAGTAAATGGTGTGTAGCCCTGCAGAAATTTTATCAAAAATAATCACCGAAACCTCCAGAATTTACAATTTCCCCTGCAAGTTCGACGCTCATTTTATACAAACGTAAAGTTAAATCCCAATACCAATTAATACTCGAACGAAATTGTTCTGCTTCCATCCACACCGGACCAATTTCAAATATTCGATCTGAAACGCTACTCACGGAATAAAATTATTGGCGTTGCTTCTGTTGGTCTCGGGCTTCAAGAGTTTTCTCTTTATTAAAACACCACTATGTATGCAGAACCCGAGACAACGTCACAAATTTACCCCGAAAGAAAAAGTACCTCCTACCCTTAACATAGAGGCATAACCAGAGAGTGTATCAACGATCCATGCTACCGAATTACTAAAAAGTCGGACTAATTTTAAGCTCGTTACCTAAATCAACCATTGTCTATATGATTATTATCCATGGAACATCCTGAAGACACAGGTTTTTGCATTCAAACAGAGTTCCCAAAATCTAGTTGAAATCATCAAAATAATTACTTTATCTCAAACCACCTTAATTTACTAGGTTATTTAATTTATCAATCATCATATTTAAGATAAAAAAAGTAAGATCACCTGCAAAGCAAAATAGCTGCAGCAGCAACATGTAAGTGGTGAGTTGTACCAATAAACATCTATTTTTTTGTTGTGATAATGATTTTTGCTTTGCAATCAGTGATTGGGATTTGTGATGAATGACTGTTTTGCATAGTAACAAGCAAACCAAGCGATCAGACCTTATTTTTTTTCTTGGTTCTAATTTTTACTTTATTTGTTACTTCCTTACTTCCCAACTGAAGTTTGCTTGTTTTTTTTAAGCTGTGCGCTACAGTCATTCGGACGTACTCGTCAATCAATCGCATTATTTGTTACTTAATATAATAATTATATATTGTTGAATCATGAAATTTATAAGTAGTGTATCATATTTTTACATAGTGGATATTAAACATAGTTTTGAATTAATTGGTTAGTTTTATATCATAAATAGAAATCCATGTATAATATACTCTATAGAATAAATATTGAATTTGTCATGAAGTTCTAGTTTTCTCATTAGTTTCTATCGGGTGTGAACACGAAACAAACTAACGATCAATTGGAGGGACTTTAGACAAAGTCGAACATGGGTGCATATCTAAAGTCAAAGATAGGGTGGGTTTTGAGCACCGTCTCCCGAATATCCGAGGAGAATAGTTGATGTGGGGATTGATAATTTTGTGTTTTCCTCTGTTTAATTGATCCACTGGGGAGTTTCAACAGTCATCCGAAATATGGTAGATTAATTGTTTTTTTTTTTTTAGTTTGTTTCCATAGTATCAGAAGGGTACATACTTTTGTGGACGCGTCAGAAAAGGCCTATGGTGCTGTGGTGTATCTTCGGACTATGCTGCCGAACGCCAGGCATATAGTCAGACTCCTTTGTTCAAAATCAAAAATAGCACAAATAAAGGAGATCACGTTGCCAGGGTTAGAGCTTTGTGCCGCTGAATTGGGGGCAAAACTTACTGCTAAAGTCAAAACCGAATTGGGTTACGAAGGTCGGATTCAGAGATTACACTGTACTGGATCAATTCGGAACCATCAGTACTAAGACGTTCGTTGCCAACAAGGTAAAAAACATACAAGGCAGATCGCTAAGCACTCAATGGCGACATGTGGGGACAAAGGATAATCCTGCCCCAGATCGTCTGTCGGGATGTCTGATGTGGTTTTATGGACCCACGTATCTACATGGAAATAAATCTCTGGAAATCAAGCACAAGGGTTCATTTAGACGATTACAAATGCTGGCAGTTGAAGAAACATGGAGTATTGGACAAAACAAGCTCTATACATACTTTGACTCCGATTCTTGATGACAGAGGAATACTTAGAGTCGGTGGCTGGTTGGAAGAGCCAACCTTAGCATACGACACAAAACACCCGATGTTGTTACCACACAACGATCCAATTGTGAAACTCATTCTAAGCATGATCCATTTAGAGAATAGCCACTGTGGCTCACAACTATTGCTGGCAACGTCAAGGCAAAAATATTGGATAATTAAGGGGAAGGCTATGGCTCGCAACATTGTGCAAAATTGCGTAAGGTGCACCCGGGCCAAGCCAAAGGTATACAACCAAATCATGGGAAATCTCTCACCGAGCAGGGTCACACCTGCAAGGCCTTTTATTGTCTCCGGCGTTGACCATTGCGGACCACTATGGGTCCACTACAAAATACGAGGCAAGCGACCACACAAGGTTTACATCGCTGTCTTTGTCTGCTTCCAACAAAGGCTGTACATTTGGAAGTAGTTACAGACTTAACAACGGAAGCATCCATTGGAGCATTGAAGAGATTTATCTCTCGGCGAGGGAAATATCAAACCTTATATTCAGACAACGCGACGAACTTTGTTGGAGCCAAAAATCATCTCGATGAATTTAATGAGGCTGTCTTTGGAACGAAAGGCAAGAAGATAATAGCGCAGACGTGCTCAAGATAAGGGATCGATTTTCAGTTTTTCCCCTAAGAGCACCACGACGGAGCCGTTTGTGTAATTGACGTAAAGACAATAAACGGCGAAATTAAAAGAGCCATAACCAAATTACCTTCTTTATAAGAAACGGAACCTCTTCCGCCATCTCCAAAGGACCATCTCCAAAGGGCCATCTCCAATAATCGATCACTCACCAAAGAACTATCAATTAAAAACTAGTGGCTCTCAATTAGCTGAAAGCTGAAACTTATATTTGGTTTTCGTTTATCCATTATGCAACGTTCGTGGATGCGATTTGAAAATTTTCTTAAAAATTGTTATGGCTGCATGATGTTTTAAACTCTTTTCTCTTTTGTCATTTTGTTTGTTACTCCTCGAAATAAACTTTTTTAGACTCCATATAGTGTACGTTCTTAATAAGTGTAAAGTTCTATGTTAATTTTTTTTTAATTTGTGGGAATAACTTCTTAAGTTATGTAAATACAATCAAAAAATCATAAACATGGACTGTAAATTTGAGTTGATATAGCACATTTAAAACAAAATTAACTTTTTAATTATACAGTTAGCTAGACCAAAACAATTATTTTCATATGTTACATATTACGGAATATATTTTATTTTGTATTTTAGAAGAATTTATAGACATGATGGAATGATTCCACATTAGTTGTCACAGAAAATTATCCATCGTCAGCCAGTTAGAATGTTGCATGGTTCCTTATTTATGCATTTTCTAAAATAACGAGATAAAAGAGGAAAACATTTATTATGAATAGAAATATAAAGAAAACAATAAAAAGTGCAACAACTTATTTTCACTTATGACATACCTTATTTTGTTTCGCCATATCCAGTGCTTCTTTTTTGCTACGTAGGGCGCAATCTTCCAATGTTTCTGCTGCTTCAAACATACCTTGCCTGCGGTATAATGCGCCCAAATTCTTTAATGTTGTGGTAACCGTTGGTGAATCAACTTTTGCGGCTTTGAGCCATCCTCCATATTCATTTTCTCTGTTGTCGTACTTGTGTTCTTCTCGTTCTTCTGCGACCAATTAAGGAACAAATAGATAAATATATGACAAAACATACTGGCTACTAAATTTGGAAAGGTATAATTGTTAAGTTTGTAAAAAACGTGTATAGGATGGCCTGGAGAAGGGAATATAATATTAGGTTACTTCGGGATTCTGTCGCCGCCCTCAAAATTCCACACCTGACGATCACAGGTTGGGCACTATAAGGGTATCTTTGTTTTGAAAACGTCCACACGCTTTCCGGCGGACGCAAAGAAGTTTCCTATACATATTTGAATATTTTATCAATCCGCTTTTCTGTCAAATGCACCAATCATTGCAAAGTATTTCTAGTCCTACATTGTTTCTGGCTTGATAAACCTTGCTGTCCGTTCTGTGTTAATAAGCAATTTCATGCACCGTCTTACTTTAGGTTAAGAGCTTTTTTCTCGATTAATCCTTAACAGTATCTCCTTTTTGAAAAAAAGAAACCATGGACTTAGTATTTTCGTGTTTCATTTACACTAAACAGTCTTACTTTTAATTAAAACTCTAATTTCTTCAAATTGCAAATTGTCACTGTTTTGAACTTACACCTCTGAGTGCAAGGCTGTTATTTGAGAATTTGTTTCCATGGTTCTTACCAAACTTTTTAACTTTTTTCGTATATTTTGTATTTCACTCCCAACAATAATGTTTATTTTATACTTTTTTTATACAGACTCAATATCGAATGGAAAAACATTTGTATAAACAAGGTACACTCCTTTTTTGTCTTTGTAAAACTTTATTTATTATTTTTGTATATAGATTTTACAAATGAACTATTCTATTTTTGATAATAGATTCAATTTTTTGTCTGTTCCTTATTTCTTTCCCTTATTTTTGATTGATGATTACGTTTTCTTTTAATCAAATGGTTGTATAACAAAAGAAAATTTCAAATAGGGGAATTCTTATTGACTAGCCCGTAATTGTTAAAGCATTTAGATAAAATCTAAATCGCAACACTGGCGAATTTAAGTATTTTTCGAAAGTCTTTTCCCATAGATGTTTTAGATAAGCATAAATGGATTATCTAAAAGGACTATGAATCATGGCTATTATGTTTCTAAATAGAAAAAGATCTCATAGCCATAGGGTATAGAATGTCCTGGTGACGATCCTACGCACTGGTTGTCCTTGGCCTATCCCGCATCCTATTTAAAAGAAGTCCTTTGAACTAACCCATATAAAGACATACACAGGTCGACAACAAAAGGATCATAGTTACACTCGACGAACTCGATGTTACAACTGACCCATTAAAAATACGAATGCAACTAAATCTAATATTGTACAATTAAACACTTTCTCTTTTGCAGAATTGGATACAATACTTATTTGTCACATTAAGTACGCGAATAGACTGTTTCGGATATTTTATTTAAAATCGGGCTATTTCAAATGCTTAGGTTTTATTGCACTTATCTCCAATTCTTCTAAGGTCATAGCTAAGAAGATTTAGAAAGTACAGTAGTTTGACCGCCATTTGTATCACTGGATGAGTGTCGTCATTTTATCGCAGACAAAAGAAGTAATACAATAAATCTCATGTTTTTGTTGCTTGTTATAAATTAAATTTGTCAAATGTTTTTCACTTTATTTTTCTTTCTAATTTTTTACCTGTTATGTATATTTTATATATTATTTTTTATTTATTTTTATATGTTTTTTTCTTGATTTTTTTTAAAGTACTGGTTCCTCTTCTATTGAGCTTACGATCTCGTCACTTGGGTAAAAAAGTTTTTTGTCATAGAAGTTATTTTTAAAATAACTTCTGGGGAGAATATCCCAGACAAAAAACAAGTGAACTGATGAGGATTTGTTGCTCTTTCCGAAACCTGGATATTCCCATCGTTCTCCACTAATAAACAAACGTTGTTTTTATAAAAACTACAATAAAGGGATTAAGCCTGACCATTCTGCAACAACAAAATACTATAGTATCCCGAACAAACAAGCCGTCACTGTACTGGTTAATTTCTATAGATTCTTTGCGTTATGTGAAGGGCCATCCAATTTATGACGATAGGGGCATTTTGCTAGTTGTTTTGTCGAACTTCTAAGTGCTGAATGCGATTGAAGTAGAAAGAGTCATAACAAGGGTTATAACTTCGTTGCGGAACAATTGTACATCCCGTAAGTAAAAGAATATACACGTAAATTTCGTATAAACTTATGTGTATAACTTTTGAAATGTTTTTATGATTTTGGACTGTTTGAAAGTTTTTTTTTTTTTTTTGATAATAATAGATTATTCTGTTTTGATGCAATGAGAACTGTAAATTCGAAATTCTACGATCTGCCCGCCTAATTCTATGTCCTAAGTTTCAAGTGGATCCATGAGCTTTGCTTTCGTTTGTGTCGCTCAATTACTTAAAATGTCAAATAAGCGAAATTTAAATTTTCCAATTTGAATAAACAAAAACTCATCGAAATACTTTACTTCTTTTCTTCCATTTTCCCCATTTACAGAACAACATTTTCTGTAAACCAAAATTTTGATCTCAAAATTGATTATGATATCGTAACAACATAGTGTCAATACTTTAACTCTAACTTCTCGTACCTTTATACTTTTACGCCTTTGCTAAAGTTTCTGTTCCATTATGTCTGAATTCTTCACATTCGGAAGTGCCCTTAGCTCATTCATTCATGCAACGCACATCCGAAGTAAAGAAACAAGATCTGTGCCACTATTGTTTCTCCAAAACGCATCACGTACGAAATTGTACATGAAAAACAAGTGAGTTGAGTGCCAAAATAGAGTGCCACAACACAATGCTTCACGTTCTTAGACATAAATCCTTCCACTTTGATCTGCAAATCTGTTTCATTCACTCCTAATTCCTCACAGTCCCCTACTTCTGGGAACGGAGTCATTCAATCTTGCTGCGTTCCTATTGCACCACTCTGTCCAATAGAGACCTATTTCGCCTGAGCTTGACTCTAGTGACCCGTACATTGAATGTATGGAGGTAGCGGTCACGTGTGGAACCGCCCAGGCGGAGATGCTTAGCGTGTACATACCGCCGTTAAAGTGCTGCGCCCCACGTTATATGCCCAATATCAGTTCACTTCTGGTAGGCAATAACCGTCTGGTGCTAGGGGATTTCAATGCCCATCATGAACTATGACATTCCGTCTTAGGTAATGACCAGCGAGGCATGCCGCTGGCTGAGCAAATCGATAGCTCCAAGTTTTAGCAATAATTTCGCTAGGCTCAGAACGACTCCCTATTATTGCCGCCATCAACAGACCACCCGATTTTATAGATACTGAACGCCGCAACTTTCCTTAACCATGAGAAAGCCAACTAGCAAGATTTCAGAGAATATACCAATCGCCGCTTCAGTGAACTGCCCAACCCATCTGATGTACAGGTAGCAGATAGGTGTTTCCGGGACAACATCAAAGCTGCAGCCGCTCGTAATATACCTGCTGGTCGAATACCTGAAATAAGACGAAATTTCCTAGCAGAGGCAGCGGGATAAGCAAATGAGCGAGATGAGTTTCGCCGTACTAAACCTAATAACCCCAGAGTCAGGGAACTAACTCTGGAGGTAAACAGGTTAGTCGGCAAATAAGCGGAAAAAGTTGCTAGAACTTCTGAAGCTTTGGAACATCAGTACCTGATCGAGTAAACTGTGGGCAAAGGTTAAGTCGCTCTCGAACCCTGGAAAAAAGGATGATCGGACATATGTCTCATTTAACGGCGTAGAAGTGACAGATCCGAAGAGGTGTGCGTGTTATTTAAAGCGGCAATTCACAGAGCACTCCGGGAGTGACAGGGCTAATAGAAGAATCTACGCCGTGTACGATCTCTTCCAGCCGAGGAGGTACCACCACAATTTACGTTGGAAGATGTTGCACATGTCATCAGAAGCGCAGTCATCTAAAGCGCTTGGTCCTAACGGAATCTCTATGGTGATGTTGAAGCAACTGGATGAACCAGGAGTTGAGTATCTCACCAAACTCCTCAACCGGTCCTTAGCCACCCTTATAGTTCCCGATGCATGGAAAATGGGCAGAGTGATCCCGCTACTGAACAGGCCGATATCACTTTTGTCACCAGTAGCAAAGACGAAGGTTTCCCAGTAGCTGATAATCAACGGATTCCGAAAATTGCATAGCACAACGATAGATTTAGCTTTACACGCCATCTCCACACATATCAGCAGATAATTCAACCAGAACAGGCCGTGCGACAGAACAGTTATGGTGGCACTTGATTTATCAAAAGCTTTTGATACAGTCAATCATGCCACTCTGTTCGAGTACATTGAACGCACCGCCCTCCGGCCAAGTTTGAAACGTTGGATTGTAAACTACATATGTGGACGCCAGTCGTACGTGGAATTCAGAAACAAGTAGTCGAGCTACCGTATAGTGAAACATGGATTTTCCCAAAGTGAGGTGATATCTTCGGAACTGTTTAACCTCTACCTTTCTGGCATTCCACGCCCTCCAGACGGCATAGAGATAATATGTACGCAGATGATTGTACGCTCGTGACGTCCTTAATTAGTTGATCTAACCGCCTTTTTCGCTGCGAGGAATATGAAGATATCCGCCACTAAATCGAGGGACACATTTTCACCTCATGGACTGCGGAGATGAGGCTATCTTTGAATGTGCAGGTCGATAGAGTTGTAATTCCGACCACCAACTACCCTAAGGTCTTAGGGGTCACATACGATAGCCTTTTCAAGTCGTCCCCGCATACCAGAGCAATCTGCGATAATGCTATGTTCTCATTGCACTTTGAATCAAGTTCTTCGCTCTCAGTATTAGGTACACGAATTAACCCGTTCATACAGCACGATTCGAATTCATAGTAAAATAATTCCTTTTCCAAACAATTTGTTTGTTGATTTTAATGGGAATTTATACGAAAATACATGAAATTCTCACTAATATGAATAGAAGAAATTATTGTTTTCTCCCAAAGATTTATTATATAATTAATTTTACAATTTTCATTCATGTTTTCAATTTTTGTGTAAGTGTTGACACTCTGAACGTATTTTTCTATTTTTAAATTCTGCTGGAAAGACACTTGTCAAACATTTTATCTGCCGATAAATACATTTTGAAAATATTGCCTCTTTTGAAAATAATGCCCATTTCGGTTGAGAAAACAAAATTTACTTTCGTTTGAATGGGCATACACCATTCAACATTGTAGTTTTCATTCATAATTTTCAGTCTTCCCAAAATTTTGAAAAATTTCATAAATTGTTCTATTTTGAATTTTTAAATGTCATAATTTATTTTTTCGATAAATGCTTTCATTTATTAGGGTGGCGCACATTTCATCTTAGTTCAGCAAATTTTGTGTGGGGAATTAAGTAGATGTTTCTTAATTAATGGCCGAACAAGGAATAGAAAGCGAATCACGTGCAATGTGATCCTAGCATAAGATTAGAAATAGGAACAAGGTTCTCAAGTCTCTTGCCGGCAGCACTTGGAAAGCTGATAAGGAAACCTTGTTGACCTCTTACAACGCGATAGACCGGTCTGAGTAAACGATGCGGTTCCGGCCAACTTTAGTGCTACGCAGTGAAAAAATATTCAGTCCTGTCAGAATGCCGCCATTAGATTACCGACAGAGCGTGTTACCGACAGAGCCATACGAGTCACCATCTGGTGGATAGGCAACCTCCGCCCAGGCACGTAAGGAAAGACCTTCATGATCTAGAGAGAGGGGTACAAAGGTATAAGAGCCTCTAGATCAACAGGCCTATCAAGTGGGACTGAATAGTATTCGTTCTAACGCGGTCTCAGAAGTTATGGAAGGATATAGAGTGAATACTGTATTAGGAGACCATCCCCTTCAATCCAAAAAATGAGCTTAAATACGTGGATGATGTATTTTCCGGTGCACCTTCAATTTCCAATACAATTCAATCCAAAAATAAAAATGAGCTTAAATCTGCTCTACCATCAACTGGTCCCTTCGCAAATCAATAGACGATCTATGATCTACCAAATGATCATTTTTTGTGTGATGATTTCCTAAACATCGACGATATTAGTACAGCAAAAATGCTAGGAATTCGTTGCAATGCTCGTGTTCCTACACAAAAAAGGGAGATTATTCCATCCTCATTATAAACTTATATTTCCAAATATATTTTAATAGATATATATATATATTTTGTTTTTGTTGCTTGTTATGAATTAAATTTGTCAAAATTTTTTCATTTTTTTTCTTTCTACTTTCTTTACCTGTTATTTACATTTTATATATTATTTTTTATTTATTTTTATTTTTTTCTTGATTCTTTTATTTAAAAGTACTGGCTCCTCTTCTGTTGAGCTTAAGGTGCAAGTACATAACAAGCTTGAAGTCATGGCTAGGCACATTAATGTCAAATTATAATGGAAAACGACGGCAGGATTTTAGTGCGGCTCTGTAATCCCTTTATGAAATGTAACAAAATATGCGTAGCCATGACTTCAAGCTTCTTATGTACTTAGACCCTTACGATCTCGTCACTTGGGTAAAAAAGTTTTTTGTCATAGAAGTTATTTTTAAAATAACTTCTGGGGAGAATTTCCCAGACAAAAAACAAGGGAACTGATGAGGATTGGTGGCTCTTTCCGAAACCTAATTATTCCCATCGTTCTCCGCTAATAAACAATCGTTGTTTTTTTTATAAAAACAACAATAAAGGGATTAAGCCTGTCCATTCTGCAACAACAAAATACTATAGTATCCCAAACAAACAAGCCAGCACTGTACTGGTTAATTTCTATAGACTCTTTGCGTCATGTGAAGGGCCGTACAATGTATGACGATAGGGGCATTTTTCTAGTTGTTTTGTCGAACTTCTGAGTGCTCATAGGCGGAGATATAGCGATTGAAGTAGAAAGAGCCATAACAAGGGTTATAACTTCGTTGCGGAAAAATTGTACATCCCGTAAGTAAAAGAATATACACGTAAATTTCGAGTCAACTTATGTGTATAACTTTTTAAATGTTTTTATGATTTTGGACTGCTTGAAAGTTTTTTTTTTTTTTTTTTTTTTTTTTTTTGATAAAAATAGATTATTCTCTTTTGATGCAATAAGAACTGTAAATTCGAAATTCTACGATCTGGCCCCCTAATTTTATGTCCTAAGTTTCGAGTGGATCCATGAGCTTTGCTTTCGTTTGTGTCGCTCAATTACTCAAAATGTCCGTTTTTGGTTTTTAAATTTTCCTCAATAAATGAATTTAGTAACCAACCTGTAATCACAACTGTTGTTATTGGTAAGCGAAATTTAAATTTTCCAACTTGGATAAACAAAAACTCATCGAATTGTTTTATTTCTTTTCTTCCATTATCCCCATTTACAGAACAACATGGTGTCAATAGTTTAACTCTAACTTCTCGTATCTTTATACTTTTACGCCTTTGCTAAAGTTTCGGTTCCGATATATCCATTGTATCTGAGTTCTTCACACATCATTCGGAAGTGCTCTTATCTCATTCATTCATGCAACGCACATCCGAAGTAAAGAAACAAGGTCTGTGCCACAAGTGTTTTGTCCAAAACGCATCACGTACGAAATTGTACATGCAAAAACAAGTGAATTGAGTGCCAAAATAGAGTGTTACAACACAATGCTTCACGTTTTTAGTCATAAAAACCATCCACTTTCAACTGCAAATCTGTTTCATTCACTCCTAATTCCTCACAGTCCACTACTTCTGGGAACTGAGTCATTCAATCTGCTTGCGTTCCTATTGCACCACTTTGTCCAGTACAGACCTATCTCGCCTGAACTTGACTCTAGTGACCCGTACATTGAATGTATGGAGGTAGCGGTCAAGTGTGGACCGCCGAGGCGGAGGTAATTAGCGTGTACATTCCGCCGTTAAAGTGCTGCGCCCCACGTTATATGCCCAATATCAGTTCACTTCTGGTAGGCAATAACCGTCTGGTGCTAGGGGATTTCAATGCCCATCATGAACTATGGTATTCCGTCTTAGGTAATGACCAGCGAGGCATGGCGCTGGCTGAGCAAATCGATAGCTCCAATTTTTGCACAGTGAATGAGGACGCGCCCACCAGAATAAGGGAAGACTGCCACAGTTCGCCGAAAATGTCTATCGTGCCCCCAGGTCTGACGAATGGCGTAACGTGGCAATCATTTCGCTAGGCTCAGACCGCCTCTCCATTATTGTCGCCATCAACAGACCACCCGATTTCATAGATACTGAACGCCGCAACTTTCCTTAACCATGAGAAAGCCAACTGGCAAGGTTTCAGAGAATATACCAATCGCCGCTTCAGTGAACTGCCCAACCCATCTTATGTACAGGTAGCAGATAGGTGTTTCCGGGACAACATCAAAGCTGCAGCCGCTCGTAATATACCTGCTGGTCGAATACCTGAAATAAGACGAAATTTCCTAGCAGAGGCAGCGGGATAAGCAAATGAGCGAGATGAGTTTCGCCGTACTAAACCTAATAACCCCAGAGTCAGGGAACTAACTCTGGAGGTAAACAGGTTAGTCGGCAAATAAGCGGAAAAAGTTGCTAGAACTTCTGAAGCTTTGGAACATCAGCACCAGATCGAGTAAACTGTGGGCAAAGGTTAAGTCGCTCTCGAACCCTGGAAAAAAGGATGATCGGACATATGTCTCATTTAACGGCGTAGAAGTGACAGATCCGAAGAGGTGCGCGTGTTATTTAAAGCGGCAATTCATAGAGCACTCCGGGAGTGACAGGGCTAAGAGAAGAATCCTACGCCGTGTACGATCTCTTCCAGCCGAGGAGGTACCACCACAATTTACGTTGGAAGATGTTGCACATGTCATCAGAAGCGCAGTCATCTAAAGCGCTTGGTCCTAACGGGATCTCTATGGTGATGTTGAAGCAACTGGATGAACCAGGAGTTGAGTATCTCACCAAACTCCTCAACCGGTCCTTAGCCACCCTTATAGTTCCCGATGCCTGGAAAATGGGCAGAGTGATCCCGCTACTGAACAGGCCGATATCACTTTTGTCACCAATAGCAAAGACGAAGGTTTCCCAGCAGCTGATAATCAACGGATTCCGAAAATTGCATAGCACAACGATAGATTTAGCTTTACACGCCATCTCCACACATATCAGCAGATAATTCAACCAGAACAGGCCGTGCGACAGAACAGTTATGGTGGCACTTGATTTATCAAAAGCTTTTGATACAGTCAATCATGCCACACTGTTCGAGTACATTGAACGCACCGCCCTCCGGCCAAGTTTGAAACGTTGGATTGTAAACTACATATGTGGACGCCAGTCGTACGTGGAATTCAGAAACAAGTAGTCGAGCTACCGTAGAGTGAAACATGGAGTTTCCCAAAGTGAGGTGATATCTTCGGAACTGTTTAACCTCTACCTTTCTGGCATTCCACGCCCTACAGACGGCATAGAGATAATATGTACGCAGATGATTGTATGCTCGTGACGTCCTTAATTAGTTTATCTAACCGCCTTTTTCGCTGCGAGGAATATGAAGATATCCGCCACTAAATCGAGGGACACACTTTCACCTAATGGACTGCGGAAATGAGGCTATCTTTGAATGTGCAAGTCGATGGAGTTGTAATTCCGACCACCAACTACCCTAAGGTCTTAGGGGTCACATTCGATAGCCTTTTCAAGACGTCCCCGCATACCAGAGCTATCTGTGATAATGCTATGTTCTCATTGCACTTTCAATCAAGTTGTTCGCTCTCAGTATTAGGTTCATACGGCACGATTCGAATTAATAGTAAAATAATTCCTTTTCCAAACAATTAGTTTGTTGATTTTAATGGGAATTTATACGAAAACACATGAAATTCTCATTAATATGAATAGAAGAAATTATAGTTTTTCTCCCAAAGATTTATTATATAATTAATTTTACAATTTTCATTCATGTTTTCAATTTTTGTTTAAGTGTTGACATTCTAAACGTATTTTTGTATTTTTCTATTTTTAAATTCTGCTGAAGAGACACTTGTCAAACATTTTATCTGCCGATAAAAACATTTTGAAAATATTGCCTCTTTTGAAAATAATGCCCACTTCGGATGAGAAAACAAAATTTACTTTCGTTTGAATGTGCATACACCATTCAACATTGTAGTTTTCATTCATAATTTTCAGTCTTCTCAAAATTTTGAAAAATTTCATAAATTGTTCTATTTTGAATTTTTAAATGTCATAGATTATTTTTTCGATAAATGCTCCCATTTATTAGGGTGGCGCACATTTCACCTTAGTTCAGCAAATTTTGTGTGGGGAATTAAGTAGATATTTCTTAATTAATGGTCGAACAAGGAATAGAAAGCGAATCACGTGCAATGTGATCCTAGCATAAGATTAGAAATAGGAACTAGGTTCTCAAGTCTCTTGCCGGCAGCACTTGGGAAGCTGATAAGGAAACCTTGTTGACCTCTTACAACGCGATAGGCCGGTCTGAGTAAACTATGCGGTTCCGGCCAACTTTAGTGCTACGCAGTGGAAAAATATTCAGTCCTGTCAGAATGCCGCCATTAGATTACCGACAGAGCCATACGAATCACCATCTGGTGGATAGGCAACCTCCGCCCAGGCACGTAAGGAAAGACCTTCATGATCTAGAGAGAGGGGTACAAAGGTATAAGAGCCTCTAGATCAACAGGCCTATCAAGTGGGACTGAATAGTATTCGTTCTAACGCGGCCTCAGAAGTTATGGAAGGATATAGAGTGAATACTGTATTAGGAGACCATCCCCTTCAATCCAAAAAATGAGCTTAAATACGTGGATGATGTATTTTCCGGTGCACCTTCAATTTCCAATACAATTCAATCCAAAAATAAAAATGAGCTTAAATCTGCTCTACCATCAACTGGTCCCTTCGCAAATCAATAGACGTTCTATGATCTACCAAATGATCATTTTTTGTGTGATGATTTCCTAAACATCGACGATATTAGTACAGCAAAAATGCTAGGAATTCGTTGCAATGCTCGTGTTCCTACACAAAAAAGGGAGATTATTCCATCCTCATTATAAACTTATATTTCCAAATATATTTTAATAGATATATATATATTTTTTGTTTTTGTTGCTTGTTATGAATTAAATTTGTCAAAATTTTTTCATTTTTTTTCTTTCTACTTTCTTTACCTGTTATTTACATTTTATATATTATTTTTTATTTATTTTTATTTTTTTCTTGATTCTTTTATTTAAAAGTACTGGCTCCTCTTCTGTTGAGCTTAAGGTGCAAGTACATAACAAGCTTGAAGTCATGGCTAGGCACATTAATGTCAAATTATAATGGAAAACGACGGCAGGATTTTAGTGCGGCTCTGTAATCCCTTTATGAAATGTAACAAAATATGCGTAGCCATGACTTCAAGCTTCTTATGTACTTAGACCCTTACGATCTCGTCACTTGGGTAAAAAAGTTTTTTGTCATAGAAGTTATTTTTAAAATAACTTCTGGGGAGAATTTCCCAGACAAAAAACAAGGGAACTGATGAGGATTGGTGGCTCTTTCCGAAACCTAATTATTCCCATCGTTCTCCGCTAATAAACAATCGTTGTTTTTTTTATAAAAACAACAATAAAGGGATTAAGCCTGTCCATTCTGCAACAACAAAATACTATAGTATCCCAAACAAACAAGCCAGCACTGTACTGGTTAATTTCTATAGACTCTTTGCGTCATGTGAAGGGCCGTACAATGTATGACGATAGGGGCATTTTCTAGTTGTTTTGTCGAACTTCTGAGTGCTCATAGGCGGAGATATAGCGATTGAAGTAGAAAGAGCCATAACAAGGGTTATAACTTCGTTGCGGAAAAATTGTACATCCCGTAAGTAAAAGAATATACACGTAAATTTCGAATCAACTTATGTGTATAACTTTTTAAATGTTTTTATGATTTTGGACTGTTTGAAAGTTTTTTTTTTTTGATAAAAATAGATTATTCTGTTTTGAAACAATAAGAACTGTAAATTCGAAATTCTACGATCTGGCCCCCTAATTTTATGTCCTAAGTTTCGAGTGGATCCATGAGCTTTGCTTTCGTTTGTGTCGCTCAATTACTCAAAATGTCCGTTTTTGGTTTTTAAATTTTCCTCAATAAATTAACTTAGTAACCAACCTGTAATCACAACTGTTGTTATTGGTAAGCGAAATTTAAATTTTCCAATTTGGATAAACAAAAACTCATCGAATTGTTTTATTTCTTTTCTTCCATTATCCCCATTTACAGAACAACATGGTGTCAATACTTTAACTCTAACTTCTCGTATCTTTATACTTTTACGCCTTTGCTAAAGTTTCGGTTCCGATATATCCATTGTATCTGAGTTCTTCACACATCATTCGGAAGTGCTCTTATCTCATTCATTCATGCAACGCACATCCGAAGTAAAGAAACAAGGTCTGTGCCACAAGTGTTTTGTCCAAAACGCATCACGTACGAAATTGTACATGAAAAACAAGTGAATTGAGTGCCAAAATAGAGTGTTACAACACAATGCTTCACGTTTTTAGTCATAAAAACCATCCACTTTCAACTGCAAATCTGTTTCATTCACTCCTAATTCCTCACAGTCCACTTCTTCTGGGAACGGAGTCATTCAATCTGCTTGCGTTCCTATTGCACCACTTTGTCCAGTACAGACCTATCTCGCCTGAACTTGACTCTAGTGACCCGTACATTGAATGTATGGAGGTAGCGGTCAAGTGTGGACCGCCGAGGCGGAGGTAATTAGCTTGTACATTCCGCCGTTAAAGTGCTGCGCCCCACGTTATATGCCCAATATCAGTTCACTTCTGGTATTCAATAACCGTCTGGTGCTAGGGGATTTCAATGCCCATCATGAACTATGGTATTCCGTCTTAGGTAATGACCAGCGAGGCATGGCGCTGGCTGAGCAAATCGATAGCTCCAAGTTTTGCACAGTGAATGAGGACGCGCCCACCAGAATAAGGGAAGACTGCCACAGTTCGCCGGAAATGTCTATCGTGCCCCCAGGTCTGACGAATGGCGTAACGTGGCAATCATTTCGCTAGGCTCAGGCCGCCTCTCCATTATTGTCGCATTCAACAGACCACCCGATTTCATAGATACTGAACGCCGCAACTTTCCTTAACCATGAGAAAGCCAACTGGCAAGGTTTCAGAGAATATACCAATCGCCGCTTCAGTGAACTGTCCAACCCATCTGATGTACAGGTAGCAGATAGGTGTTTCCGGGACATCATCAAAGCTGCAGCCGCTCGCAATATACCTGCTGGTCGAATACCTGAAATAAGACCAAATTTCCTAGCAGAGGCAGTTTCGCGTACTAAACCTAATAACTCCAGAGTCAGGGAACTAACTCTGGAGGTAAACAGGTTAGTCGGTGAATAAGCGGAAAAAGTGGCTAGAACTTCTGAAGCATTGGAACATCAGTACCAGATCAAGTAAACTGTGGGCAAAGGTTAAGTCGCTCTCGAACCCTGGAAAAAAGGATGATCAAGCATATGTCTCATTTAACGGCGTAGAAGTGATAGATCCGAAGAGGTGCGCGTGTTATTTAAAGCGGCAATTCATAGAGCACTCCGGGAGTGACAGGGCTAAGAGAAGAATCCTACGCCGTGTACGATCTCTTCCAGCCGAGGAGGTACCACCACAATTTACGTTGGAAGATGTTGCACATGTCATCAGAAGCGCAAAGTCATCTAAAGCGCTTGGTCCTAACGGAATCTCTATGGTGATGTTGAAGCAACTAGATGAACCAGGAGTTGAGTATCTTACCAAACTCCTCAACCGGTCCTTAACCACCCTTATAGTTCCCGATTCCTGGAAAATGAGCAGGGTGGTCCCGCTACTGAACATTGATAATTCAACCAGAACAGTCCGTGCGACAGAACAGTTATGGTGGCACTTGATTTATCAAAAGCTTTTGATACAGTTAATCATGCCACACTGTTCGAGTACATTGAACGCACCGCCCTCCGGCCAAGTTTGAAACGTTGGATTTAAACTACATATGTGGACGCCAGTCGTACGTGGAATTCAGAAACAAGTAGTCGAGCTACCGTAGAGTGAAACATGGAGTTTCCCAAAGTGAGGTGATATCTTCGGAACTGTTTAACCTCTACATTTCTGACATTCCACGCCCTACAGACGGCATAGAGATAATATGTACGCAGATGATTGTACGCTCGTGACGTCCTTACTTAGTTGATCTAACCGCCTTTTTCGCTGCGAGGAATATGAAGATATCCGCCACTAAATCGAGGGACACACTTTCACCTCATGGACTGCGGAGATGAGGCTATCTTTGAATGTGCAGGTCGATAGAGTTGTAATTCCAACCACCAACTACCCTAAGGTCTTAGGGGTCACATTCGATAGCCTTTTCAAGTCGTCCCCGCATACCAGAGCTATCTGCGATAATGCTATGTTCTCATTGCACTTTCAATCAAGTTGTTCGCTCTCAGTATTAGGTACACGAATTAACCCGTTCATACGGCACGATTCGAATTAATAGTAAAATAATTCCTTTTCCAAACAATTTGTTTGTTGATTTTAATGGGAATTTATACGAAAATACATGAAATTCTCACTAATATGAAATAAATTATTGTTTTCTCCCAAAGATTTTTTATATCAATTTTTTTCAATTTTTGTGTAAGTGTGGACATTCTGAACGTATTTTTGTATTTTTCTATTTTTAAATTCTGCTGGAGAGACACTTGTCAAACATTTTATCTGCCGATAAAATCACTTTGTTTAATATTGCCTCTTTTGAAAATAATGCCCACTTTGGTTGAGAAAACAAAATTTGCTTTCGTTTGAATGTACAAACACCATTAAACATTGTAGTTTTCATTCATAATTTTCAGTCTTCCCAAAATTTTGAAAAATTTCATTAAATTTGTCTATTTTGAATTTTTAAATGTCATAATTTTTTTTTCGATTAATGCTCTCATTTATTAGGGTGGCGCACATTTCATCTTAGTTCTGCGAGTGATTTAATGGAACAAAGAACAAAAATCTTTGTTCGCCCAGCAAATTTTGTGTGGGGAATTAAGTAGATATTTCTTAGTTAATGGTCGAACAAGGAATAGAAAGCGAATCACGTGCAATGTGATCCTAGCATAAGATTAGAAATGGGAAAAAGGTTCTCAAGTCTCTTGCCGGCAGCACTTGGGAAGCTGATAAGGAATCCTTGTTGACCTCTTACAACGCGATAGGCCGGTCTAACCCGGTTGCGAGACTATGTTGCTTCGTGCTGTACCAACGTAGTCCCCAGTGAGTCCACGACCTCGTTGTCAACTTCCGAGTCGTCGTCGGTGTATGGAACCCCCCGCAGTCTCTAGAACAGCAACCTTTACAACAGCACTTAACGCCACATGTTGCTGTTCCAATTCCGGACAATGCATCATTCTTGCAGTTCAATTGCAACGGACTTCGATGTAAAATTGATGAGATAGTGGATTTTATGAATCGGAGGAATATTAAGATCGCAGCGGTGCAGGAAACCAAGCTCAATGAAAATTGTAGCTTACAACGTTGCAATGGTTACAACGTATTGAGGAAAGATCGCACCAGAAGTGGAGGTGGGGGATTAGCGTTCCTGTTACACCATTCTGTTCAATACAGACCTATCTCGCTTGAGCTAGTCTCTAGTGACCCGTACATGGAGTGTATGGGGGTAGCAGTCAAGTGTGGTACTGCCGAGGTAGAGGTGCTTAATGTGTATGTCCCGCCGGTTAATAGCTGTGAACCGCGTTACTTGCCTAATAAAAGCCCACTTTTGGAAGCCAATAACCGCCTGGTACTAGGGGACTTCAATGCCCACCATGAGTTGTGGCATTCCGTCCTTGGTAATGACCAGAGGGGATCAGCGTTGGCAGAGCAGATTGACTGCTCCACATTTTGCACGGTAAACGAGGATGCCCCCACCCGAATAAGACCCGGTCTGATAAATGACGTGACTTGGCCGCCCGTCATTTCTCTTGGCTCAGACCATCTCCCGATAATCGTCTCCATCAGCAGATCGCCCGATTTCATAACCTCTGAACGCCGCACTCTCCTTAACCATGGGAAAGCCCACTGGCCCGAGTTCAGAGAGTTCACCAACCTTCGCTTCAGAGAACTGCCCAATCGGGTAGCTGAAAGGATTTTCCGGAACATCATCAAAGCTACAGCCACTCGCTATATACCTGCTGGTCGAAGAGCTCTTCCCGCCGAGGATGTACCTTCACAGTTTACGATGGGTGATGTTGCGAATGTCATCCGAAACGCTAAGTCATCTAAAGCGTTGGGCCCGGACGGAATATCAATAATGTTGAAACAACTGGATACGCCGGGAGTTGAGTATCTAACTAAAGTCCTTAACTTGTCGTTAGCCACCCACATAGTTCCCGAAGCCTGGAAAATGGGCAGGGTGGTCCCGCTACTGAAGCCTGGCAAGGATGCCAGGAAAGGCGAATCATACAGGCCGATTTCGCTTTTGTCGCCAGTAGCAAAGACTCTCGAGGCCTTACTCCTCCCCAGTATCAGAGGAAGCTATTCAGTTGCTAACCATCAACACGGTTTCCGTCCACTACATAGCACTACAACAGCATATCCACACATATCAGTCGAGGACTCAACCAGAACAGGCCGTGCCACAGAACAGTAGTGGTGGCTCTCGACCTATCAAAGGCCTTTGATACGGTCAACCATGCCACGCTGTTCGAGGACGTTGAGAACACTACCCTCCGGCCAAGTTTGAAACGTTGGATAGTCAACTATATGTGTGGACGCCAGTCGTACGTGGAATTCCGGAAAAAGAAGTCCAAGCCTCGTAGAGTGAAACAGGGAGTTCCCCAAGGTGGGGTGATATCTCCGGAACTGTTTAATCTCTACCTTTCCGGAATTCCGCGCCCTCCAGACGGCATCGAGATCGTAACTTATGCGGATCATGGCGTCGGGTTCTGTAGTTGATGACATATGTGTCAGGGTGAATAACTATCTCGCGGAGCTTGCCGCCTTCTTCCACGCGAGGAATATGAGAATATCCGCCACTAAATGGACGGCCACACTATTTACCACATGGACTGTTGAGATGAGAACACAGCTGAATGTGCAGGTCGAGGGGCATATAATTCCGACCACCAACTACCCCAAAATCCTTGGGGTCACATTCGATAGCATGTTCAAGTCTTCCGCGCAAGCCACAGCTATTTGCGATAAAATGAAAAGTAGGAACAAGGTCCTCAAGGCGCTAGCCGGCAGCACTTGGGGTGCGGATAAGGAAACCTTGTTGACCTCTTATAAAGCGATAGGTCGGTCTGTGGTTAGCTATGCGGCTCCAGTGTGGTCGGCGAATACAAGTGCAAAGCAGTGGAAAAGTATTCAGACCTGCCAGAATGCCGCCCTGAGAACTGCAACAGGGTGCCTCCTCATGACTCCTGTGGACCAATTACATGAGGAGACGAAGATTCTTCCCTTACGTCAGCATAATCATATGCTTTCGTTGCAGTATCTGCTTGGGTGTTATCGTGGGAGTCACCCTAACCATATGGTGGATAGAACTCCCCCACCCAGGCGTGTCAGGAAGGACCTGCACGATCTAGAGAGAGATATAAGAGAGAGCCTCTAGATCATGAAGCCTATCAAGCGGGTCTGAATAGCATTCATACTGATGCAGTCGCAGAGGTAGTTAACAATTACAGTATGAATGCCATACTCGGAGTCCACCCCCATCCATTGCAGCTGAAAAACGTCGGCTGCCTAGGCAAACCAGGGTAGTTTTGGCCCAACTACGTTCAGGATTGTGCAGCCGTCTCAATTCGTATTGGGCACGAATTGATGAGGATGTGCGGAACGCCTGCCCAGCGTGCGATACAGGACCGCACAACACGCTGCACTTGTTTAATTGTCCAGCCAAACCTACCCACCTCCGTCCAGAGGATCTATGGCTACAGCCCATAAAGGTAGCAGAATTCCTAAACCTGGACATTGAGGAAGAACCGGATTAATCAGAAAAACAACAGAACATGTAAAACTGTTTAGTATACGCTCTAACTCGGTCTCAGAAGTTATGGAAGGATATAGAGTGAATACTGTATTAGGAGACCATCCCCTTCAATCCAAAAAATGAGCTTAAATACGTGGATGATGTATTTTCCGGTGCACATTCAATTTCCAATACAATTCAATCCAAAAAAATGAGCTTAAATCCGCTCTACCAAATTATTAGCACAACAAAAAAGGGAGATTCTGCCTCAGCTCTCGAAATTATTCCATCCTCATTATAAAGTTAAATTTCCAAATATAATTTGATAACTCCTACTTTGGAGTTCTTGTAACGTTTTTGATTTCCACTGGCTATAATAATATAGTGCACACAAATCAAATAAAGACATGGATCATTCGTTTTCGTTTATTAGTAGATTCTAACAACGAGCTGATTGCTTTAAACTGTATAAGTTTCTTTTCCATTTACATACCAAATCTTCTTTATTTTCCTCCTTTCTGTCGCCATATATAAATTTCTGTTTCTATTCCGCCATTTTATATATACATCTATATTTTGTACTTTCACATTCAAAGTTTTTTTCGTCATTTGGGAATTTCCCTTTTTGACAAATCGGTTTACATCCCAAAGATACCATGTTTGATTATCATGTAGCGACTGAGCAAATAAGAATCATTACGACTGTATAAAGTCGAAAGAAAATCCAATAATCGATCACTCACCAAAGAACTATAAATTAAAAACTAGTGGCTCCCAATTAGCCCAAAGCTGAAACTTATATTTAATTTTCGTTTATCCATTATGCAACTTTAGTGGATTCGATTTGAAAATTTTCTTAAAAATGGTTGCATGACGTTTTAAACTCTTTTCTCTTTTGTCATTTTGTTTGTTACTCCTCGAAATAAATTTTTTAGACTCCATATAGTGTACGTTCTTAATAAGTTCTTAAAGTTCTATGCCAACTTTTTTAATTTGTGGGAATCACTTCTTAAGTTATGTAAATATAATTAAAAAATCATAATAATAAAATTTTATGTTCGTATAAATTTTTTTGAACCTTCTGGATCATTATATGCTTGTTATATTATTTTGGTGTCAAAAATAGCAATTTGGCAGGTAAACAACTTAAATGACAGTAGACTGTAAATTTGAGTTGATATTACACATTTAAAATAAAATTAACTTTTTAATTATACAGTTAGCTAGACCAAAACAATTCTTTTCATATGTTACATATAACGGAATATATTTTATTTTGGATTTTAGAAGAATTTATAGACATGATGGAATGATTCCACATTAGTTGTCACAGAAAATTATCCATCGTCAACCAGTTAGAATGTTGCATGGTTCCTTATTTATGCATTTTCTAAATAACGAGATAAAAGTGGAAAACATTTATTATGAATAGAAATATTAATATTATTATGACATACCTTATTTTGTTTCGCCATATCCAGTGCTTCTTTTTTGCTACGTAGAGCGCAATCTTCCAATGTTTCTGCAGCTTCAAACATACCTTGCCTGCGGTATAATGCGCCCAAATTCTTTAATGTTGTGGTAACCGTTGGTGAATCAACTTTTGCGGCTTTGTGCCATCCTCCATATTCACCATATGGGGTATTTTCTCTGTTGTCGTACTTGTGTTCTTCTCGTTCTTCTGCGACCTTTAACAATTAAAGAACAAATAGATAAATATATGACAAAACATACTGACTCCTAAAGTTGGAAAGGTAAATTGTTAAGTTTGTAAAAACCATGTATAGGATGGCCTGGAGAAGGGAATATAATATAAGGTTACTTCGGGATTCTGTCGCCGCCCTCAAAATTCCACACCTGACGATCACAGGTTGGGCACTATAAGGGTATCTTTGTTTTGAAAACGTCAACACGCTTTCCGGCGGACGCAAAGAAGTTTCCTATACATATTTGAATATTTTATAAATCCGCTTTTCTGTCAAATACACCAATCATTGCAAAGTATTTCTAGTCCTACATTGTTTCTGGCTTGATAAACCTTGCTGTCCGTTCTGTGTTAGTAACCAATTTCATGCACCGTCTTTCTTTAGGTTAAGAGCTTTTTTCTCGATCAATCCTTAACAGTATCTCCTATTTGAAAAAAAGAAACCATGGACTTAGTATTTTCGTGTTTCATTTACACTAAACAAACTTACTTTTTATTAAAACTCTAATTTGTTCAAAGTTTTCAAATTGAAAATTGTCACTGTTTTGCAACAGTATTTACTACTTCAACTGCATCTGGACCATGAATAATCATAGGAGATAAGGTTCTAAATCAGCCGCATTTCTTTCTAATTCCTCGGCTTTTTCATTTTAGGTTCACTTTTATACAGACTCAATATCGAATGGAAAAACATTTGTACAAACAAGGTACACTCCTTTTTGTCTTTGTAAAACTTTATTTATTATTTTTCTATATAGATTTTACAAATGAACTATATGTTAATAATAGATTCAATTTTTTTGTCTGTTCCTTATTTCTGTCCCTTATTTTTGATTGATGAATACGTTTTCTTTTAATCAAATGGTTGTATAATAATAGAAAATTTTAAATAGGGGGATTCAATAAGAATCGTAAGTTTTAAAGTATTAAGATAAAATCCCCGCTTGTACCCTGATTCGGCGAATTAAAGTAATTTTCGAAAGTCTTTTCCCTCAGACGTTTTAGATAAGCATAAATGGATTATCTAAAAGGACTATGGATCATGGCTATTATGTTTCTCATAGCCATAGGGTATAGAATGTCCTGGTGTCCTACGCACTGGTTGTCCTTGGCCTATCCCGCATCCTATTTAAAAGAACTCCTTTGAACTAACACATATAAAGACATACACAGGTCGACAACGAAAGAACCATAGTTACACTCGACGAACTAGATGTTACACCTGACCCATTACAAAATACGAGTGCAACTAAATCTAATATTGTACAATTAAACAGTTTCTCTTTTGCAGAATTGGATACAATACTTGTTTGTCACATTAAGTATGCGAATAGACTGTTTGGGATATTTTATTTAAAATCGGGCTATTTCAAATGCTTAGGTTTTATTGCACTTATCTCCAATTCTTCTAAGGTCATAGTTAAGAAGATCTAGATAGTACAGTAGTGTGGCCGCCATTTATATCACTGGATGAGTGTCGTCATTTTATCGCAGACAAGAAAGTAATATAATAAATCTCATGTTTTTGTTGCTTGTTATGAATTAAATTTGTCAAAATTTTTTCATTTTATTTTTCTTTCTAACTTCTTTACCTCTTATTTATATTTTATATATTATTTTTTATTTAATTTTATATGTTCTTTCTTGTTTTTTTTTATTTAAAAGTACTGGTTCCTCTTCTATTGAGCTTACGATCTCGTCACTTGGGTAAAAAAGTTTTTTGTCATAGAAGTTATTTTTAAAATAACTTCTGGGGAGAAAATCCCAGACAAAAAACAAGGGAACTAATGAGGATTTGTGGATCTTTCCGAAACCTAGGTATTCCCATCGTTCTCCACTAATAAACAAACGTTGTGTTTATAAAAACTACAATAAAGGGATTAAGCCTGACCATTTTGCAACAACAAAATACTATAGTATCCCGAACAAACAAGCCACCACTGTACTGGTTAATTTCTATAGATTCGTTGCGTTATGTGAAGGGCCGTACAATTTATGACGATAGGGGCATTTTGCTCGTTGTTTTGTCGAACTTCTGAGTGCTCATAGGCGGAGATATAGCGATTGAAGTAGAAAGAGCCATAACAAGGGTTATAACTTCGTTGCGGAAATATTGTATATCCCGTGAGTAAAAGAATATAAACGTAAATTTCGAATCAACTTATGTGTATAACTTTTTAAATGTTTTTATGATTTTGAACTATTTGAAAGTGTTTTTTTTTTTTTTTTTTTTTTTTTTTTTTTTTTTTTTTTTTTGATAAAAATAGATTATTCTGTTTTGATGCAATAAGAACTGTAAATTCGAAATTCTACGATCTGGCGCCCCTAATTCTATGTCCTAAGTTTCGAGTGGATCCATGAGCTTTGCTTTCGTTTGTGTCGCTCAATTACTCAAAATGTCCGTTTGTCGTTTTTAAATTGTCCTCCATAAATTAATTTAGTATCCAACTTGTAATCACAACTGTTGTTATTGGTAAGCGAAAACAAGGTCTGTGCCACAATTGTTTCTCCAAAACGCATCACGTACGAAATTGCACATGAAAAACAGGTGATTTGAGTGCCAAAATATAGTGTTACAACACAATGCTTCACGTTCTTAGTCATAAATCCATCCACTTTGAACTGCAAATCTGTTTCATTCACTCCTAATTCCTCACAGTCCACTACTTCTGGGAACGGAGTCATTCAATCTTGCTTGCGTTCCTATTGCACCACTTTGTCCAGTACAGACCTATCTCGCCTAAACTTGACTCTAGTGACCCGTACATTGATTGTATGGAGGTAGCGGTCAAGTGTGGAACCGCCGAGGCGGAGGTGATTAGCGTGTACATTCCGCCGTTAAAGTGCTGCGCCCCACGTTATATGCCCAATATCAGTTCACTTCTGGTAGGCAATAACCGTCTGGTGCTAGGGAATTTCAATGCCCATCATAAACTATGACATTCCGTCTTAGGTAATGACCAGCGAGGCATGGCGCTGGCTGAGCAAATCGATAGCTCCAATTTTTGTACAGTGAATGAGGACGCACCCACCAGAATGAGGGAAGACTGCCACAGTTCGCCGGAAATATCCATCGTGCCCCCAGGTCTGACGAATGGCGTAACGTGGCAATAATTTCGCTAGGCTCAGACCGCCTCCCCATTATTGTCGCCATCAACAGACCACCCGATTTTATAGATACTGAACGCCGCAACTTTCCTTAACCATGAGAAAGCCGACTGGCAAGATTTCAGAGAATATACCAATCGCCGCTTCAGTGAACTGCCCAACCCATCTGATGTACAGGTAGCAGATAGATGTTTCCGGGACATTATCAAAGCTGCAGCCGCTTGCAATATACCTGCTGGTCGAATACCTGAAATAAGACCAAATTTCCTAGCAGAGGCAGCGGGATAAGCAAATGAGCGAGATGAGTTTCGCCGTACTAAACCTAATAACTCCAGAGTCAGGAAACTAACTCTGGAGGTAAACAGGTTAGTCGGTGAATAAGCGGAAAAAGTGGCTAGAACTTCTAAAGCATTAAAACATCAGTACCAGATCAAGTAAACTGTGGGCAAAGAATAAGTCGCTCTCGAACCCTGGAAAGAAGGATGATCGGACATATGTCTCATTTAACGGCATAGAAGTGACAGATGCGAAGAGGTGCGCGTGTTATTTAAACGGGCAATTCATAGAGCACTCCGAGTGTGACAGGGCTAAGAGAAGAATCCTACGCCGTGTACGATCTCTTCCAGCCGAGGAGGTACCACCACAATTTACGTTGAAAGATGCTGCACATGTCATCAGAAGCGCAAAGTCATCTAAAGCGCTTGGTCCTAACGGAATCTCTATGGTGATGTTGAAGCAACTGGATGAACCAGGAGTTGAGTATCTCACCAAACTCCTCAACCGGTCCTTAGCCACCCTTATAGTTCCCGATGCCTGGAAAATGGGCAGGGTGGTCCCGCTGCTGAACAGGCCGATATCACTTTTGTAACCAGTAGCAAAGACGAAGGTTTCCCAGTAGCTGATCATCAACACGGATTCCGAAAATTGCATAGCACAACGATAGCTTTGCACGCCATCTCCACACATATCAGCAGATAATTCAACCAGAACAGGCGGTGCGACAGAACAGTTATGTTATGTTATTAATCAAAAGCTTTTGATACATTCAATCATGCCACACTGTTCGAGCACATTGAACGCACCGCCCTCTGGCCAAATTTGAAACGTTGGATTGTGAACTACATGTGTGGACGCCAGTCGTTCAGAAACAAGGAGTCGAGCTACCGTAGAGCGAAAGAAGGAGTCTCCCTAGGTAAGGTGATATCTTCGGAACTGTTTAACCTCTACCTTTCTGACATTCCACGCCCTCCAGACGGCATAGAGATAGTTATGAACGCAGATGATTGTACGCTCGTGACGTCCTTACTTAGTTGATCTAACCGCTTTTTCGACTAAAATTACGGGTCGGCAACGCGGACCGGGCCAGATAGTAGTAGATATATAAAAATCAATTGTTGTTCGTTGGTAATGGAATCAATTGAAAACGGCTGGACCGATTTGCATAATTTTTTGTACAGACGTTCATCATACCCCGAGTTAGGTTTTTATAGAAAAAATATTGACCGCGCCTACTTTTACGCCCACAATCTTGATTTATCTAAAATCTTTATATTCGCCAGATAATGAAGATATCGGTTTGAAAATTATTACACGAGATACTGTTGACTTTCCCTCCAACCCTAGGGATTTATTTGGGGGCTAAGGAACTGACCACGCAAACATCTAATCTAAATATATATATCAAATAAAGTTGTGTTAATTGCTACGCTTATAACTCAAGAACCGCTCGTCTAAAATCCCAAAAAATCGCGTAAAAATGTAAAATTTGAAAATGTTCATTTTGACTTTTGTGGTGTGCAATAGTAATGTTTTATTTTGCATGATTTTTCCATTTTGACTTACTATTTTGGAATGTACATTTGTAGTGTTTTTTTTTTTTTTTTTTTTTTTTTTTTTAATTCAATTCAAATATGGAGTGGTGGACCTAAATAGATGATGTCAAAATAATTTAACGTGGTCAAACCAAAGTTAAAGGGTAATTACTTTTTTCAAAATTGCTAAAAAATCAAAAAAAGAGCCTCAAAAGTTGGGAAAAATAGAGAACATTTTTTCAATGGAATCAAATTTCAAAATAATATTAAGGACCAAACTTCGTAAGGACCTTTAAACATTCGCTGTAAAAAACCTGCGAACAAGTTGAAGATTTTTTTTTTCAATTTGTTTATTAGTTACTATGCTTATAACTCAAGAACGTTTTGACGGATTTTCACAATTCATGCAACTTCGGAATGAGATCTTGGGAAAACATACCAATAAAAATATAAAAGAAGAAATCCTTTTGGCGTGAAATTTTTTCAATTTAAAAACTATATAGAAGTGTACATTTTTATTGTTTTGAATTCTGAATGAATAATATAAAAAATGAAATAGTACCCAATAACGATGTTAATTAGCGATCTTTCATGTCTGAAATTGGAATTTAGATTTCAATTCTAGGATCTACATCGTGCTTCAGCTCGAAGATGCGAACACATTTAAACAAAAAAAAAAAAAAAAAAACGGCAGAACGTTATGGGGCTCATTTCAAAACGGGGACCTACCTACTTCTTTCACATGACAATAATCCGTCCAATGAGAACTCAATATGCAAAATTCATTGGGACTGAAATCAGTGAAATGCCGAATATAAAGGGCGCGAAAAGAAGAGGGAAAAGGATTTCTATTCTTTCAGAAATTCTTCCTAAACTTTCACGATACCTTAAATCGCTTTTGTAGTTCATGATATTGGTCATAACCCCCGGATAAGGATACAAACCGATTTCAAGTATATCATACATTTTAACTATATTTTCATACTAATTTCGGCAAATGAAATCATATGATTTAAGGAGCCGGACATTTGTTTAATCGTCTTTGAATTATACTATGATAAAAGATATGGACATTATGGGGTCTCCAACGCGCAATTTCAATGACAAATACTACTTATTACTTTAAAAACAAGTAAAAAAAATAAGTTCGACCGGGCAGAACTATTATTATCATCCACCTTAGGATAAATTAAACATTTTTATATAAAAGTATCTGAATTCAAGCGTGTTTCACTTTAAACTTCATATACCAGAAAGATGGTTTGGTTAACTTAGTCAAAGTTAACTTATCAAAAAACCATAAAGTGAATGAGGCCGTTATATGGGGCCATACCAAAAGGGAAACCTCTGTTGACAGTTTTATACATCAAGGATTGTCATCTATCAAACCTTCTAAGATACCAAATTTGAAACAATTATGTGAGAAAATGTGACTAGGATTATCAAAATACCCAATATCGGTAGGTATCGTTATATGTGTTAGACAAATCCGAGGAGAAATGTGGCAAAAATCATTAAAATACCGAATTTCAAGAGGTACCGTTTTATGGGGACTATACCAAAACGTGGACCGATAGATCATTTTCAATACCAACCATCCTATACACAATACAAATTGTTCTGCTAAATTTTGATGCTCTACGTCAAATAATGTAGGCTGTATCGTAATTATAACAAACAGACATACAGACGGACAAATCGACTTAGAATTTTGTGCTGATTATGAATATACATTGTATATTCTATGGGGTCTATGACGAACATTTATGGATGTTACAAATGGAATGAAAAAGTTTATATACCCACTTTTCCAAGGTGGAGGATATAATAAGCATTAAAGACTAAAATTACGGGCCAGCAACGCGGACCAGGCCAGCTAGTATTTATATATAAATGTTATATGTGTTAGCACCACTAACTCACAACTAACCCACCATTCCCACCATATTGCACCAGTTAGCAAACGAATTCAAATCATATTTTAGGAACTGGTTTCTACATATATAAATTTTATAGATGAAGGTAGATCATTTATAAATAATATATAGGAGTGGTCCTAGATGATTTCCTTGGGGACTCCAGAAGAAACTATAATACCCTTTGAAATGGGATTTTAAAACATACATTTTGTGTTCTATTTTGTAGATATGAGAAAATCCAGTCGGAACATCTATTTGTAAGTCCAATGTTTCTAAGTTTTAATCGTAATAGCTTATGATTAACTTTATCGAATGCCTTGCTGAAGCCTGTGTAGATTGCATCAGTTTGCTTTCCTTGAAGAAATCCTCTATTTACAACTGCAGTGAATTAAATGAGGTTTGTTTTTTGTAGAACACTTTTTCTGAAATCCGTACTGATAAGGTGAAACTTATTAAGCTTCAATCTGTACGAGATACCAAGAACAATCGAAGTCGGCATAAATAATTGCATTGTAAAGTAGTACGTACCAAGCCCCATACAATGCAAAAAGTAATTCAAATTCAAATTGGGACATACTTAAAAAGTTTTGCAAAAACTCTCCGGCATGTGATGTATGTGCTTCTTTTTCACATGGCCCAATACTATGCATATAATTAATGCCCCAACTGCGGACAGGAACATAGAGCCACAAACAAAAACAGCCCAGAGATCCAACAAAGAAAAATGGTACTCACGTACCAAATATATAACAAATGTTATTTTAAAGAAGCATCTATTAATGTCCCTAAGCAAACTTCAAATGAGATTCCTACTTAGAAACTCTCAGAGGCGATTGAAGAGTGTAAAAAAGATGAGCGCTCAACAACAAATTAAATGACACAAGCTACTTTACTTCAAAATGATTTAGATAGCTTTTTTCAATGGTGCAGGTTAAATGTTATGGATTTAAACTTAAGCAAATGTAAGCACATGTGTTTCTCCAGATCTCTTCTCATATTGCAATATAATATTGACGGTCATTCATTATCAACTGTAGATTAATTTGTCGATATTGGCCTCTTGATGGATCCAAAATTAAATTTTAATAGCCATGTAATAACAATGTTAAATAAAGCAAATGGGGTTTTAGGTTTTGTTAAACTGATTCATATATAACAAAACAGTTATTTACGTATCTTGTCAGACCTATATGGGGTATGGGATCCTCAATATGCAATTTACTCAGATAAAATAGAATCCGTGCAAAAACAATGTCTGCTATTCGTCTTAAAAGCAGACGTATTATGTTGAACTCCATGTTTGTACTAAAAATTTCAGATTTCCCAATCTCATCTATTGGAATTAATGTTCCGTTTATATCTAGTAGATACTACCAATTATTATATACTGATTTTCACCCCACGAATTATTCAATAAGCGAACCTCTTAGTAAAATGTGTGTTGACTTTAATTCTGTGTACTGTAATGTAGATTTTGGTACGAGTTTAGAAGTTATTATATCTAGAATAATTTTATTTTTAAACAATTAAAATACATGTTTTATTATTTGACAAACTAGCTGATGAATTAGATTCTGTATCTAGTTTTTAATTTCCTACTAAATTCCCATTATGATGCAGATCATCATGTGTACGCGATCCCTACGTAAAGGGAGGTGGAAATGTGAGGTGTGGGAACGTTCGTTCAAAAAAAAAAAAAAAAAAAAAAAAAAAGGGGCTAAAAAATAATTACGTCTTCAAATGTTAGTACAAGATTACCACCCGCACTTCATTTCCTTCCTTTTCAATCTCGAGCTTTCAAATATTGGTGCCAAAAATGGCTTAGCTGGTAAAGTAAATAACTTCTTCTCCAAAAGTTATAATTTGCAAAACGGTACACCTCAAGGATCGCCGCTTTAAGTAACCATTTTCCAAAATATGAACACACCTACATATCTAGAGAAACCCGTAATACTAAGTAAAATTGATAATGGGTTTTACATGTTTGGAAACAGCCCAAACTCATCAAATATGTTACCACGACTGCCTCAGATCCTGTTTATATGCCGACCGTACAACACCAATTAAAATATTGCTTTTGAATCAGAGTTGCCACCATTAGAGGAAAGATTTACTGAGATTGAAAACGGATTACTGCCCAAAATTATGCCCATTAACTTGTCGTTAGTAGAAGAAGACGTTAAAAAGGCGATTTCATCTAAACGCACGCCTAAAATGCCATATGCCATTTATGGATGTATCCATAACAACATAATCGATTTTAATAATAAGGTGATAAGTTATTCTTCAAAATACGTGGATGTTTTAGAACAAACATGCGATATATCTTTATCATTTATGTGTTAGGATTGTTCACCACCACCAAAGTTCATGTGGTTTTTAATGTATCCTCTGCTTTTTCTAATGGTCAAAGTTGCAAAATGACTTGACCACGTCGATTCTCAAATGGCGATTTTTCCGATATGTGTTTAACGCTGACATCCAGAAAATGCACCGACATGACATCCTGGTTCAATCTGATCATACTCCATTCTCAAGAGTAATCTTCCTCAACTACCTAGGTGAAAACATACACGATTTTTCACATTCACGTATTGTGTCAATTGTGCTCCGTATTTAGATCTGCTTCGACTAGCTGATGACGTTCAAAGTAGCCATCCAAAGGGAAGCATGATTATTCGTAATTATGTGTGCGTTGATGATGTATTTTCCGGTGCACATTCAATTTCCAATACAATTCAATCCAAAAAATGAGCTTAAATCCGCTCTAGCATCAACTGGGTTCTCTCTTCAAATGGACAGCGAACTTAACAGACGATCTATGATCTACCAAATGATCATTTGTTGTGTGATGATTTCCTAAACATCGACGATATTAGCATAGCAAAAATGCTAGGAATTCGTTGCAATGCTCGTGTTCCTACACAAAAAGGGAGATTCTGCCTCAGCTCTCGAAATTGTTCCATCCTCATTATAAACTTAAATTTCCAAATATAATTTGATAACATTGTGCACATAAATCATATAAAGACTTGCATCATTCGTTTTCATTTATTCGTAGATTCTAAAACCGAGCTGATTGCTTTAAACTGTATAAGTTTCTTTTCCATTTACCTACCAAATTTTCTTTATTTTCCTCCTTCCTGTAGCCGTATATAAATTTCTGATACTATCCCTCCATTTTAGATAGATGTCTTTACATCCATATTTTTCACTTCCACATTCAAAGTTTTGTTCGTCAGTTGGGAATATCACTTTGTGACAAATCTGGTCTTGTATTTATAACTTATATCCCAAAGATACGATGTTTGATTATCGTGTAGCGACTTGATTTCAACAGACATAGTTTCCATCCATTCGTCAGACCTTAAGAAAGAACCTTTGTATGAAATAGGATCATTAGTACAACAAACCCTGTAACCCAGTTTTTTTAAAACACACAAATCTTTATCAGAATTTTTAAGGGTACACTCACAATATTAGTGTAGGAGGAGTTCTATTTGTTTTCATTGAATCAGTGTTCTTGTGTCGATTATCGAGCTCAATAAATTCCACATCTCTGCTAATAATAATGGCATGTAGTCAATGTAGTCTTTTATCATAGGCATACATCTGCGTGAATAATCTCCAAAAGAGATATGGAATTTGTTTCTGAAACTTTTCTAAAAGGTTTTCTCGCTAAATCACTTTTAATTTACGTATAAAACATCTCATACACATATCTCCTTCTTTTGGCGAATCAGACGACATTTTCCAATTCCGCTTGGCATTACTTTTGTTGAAACTTGGCGGAGAAGACTTACGGTGTTTCTCATTGTATTTCATTGTAATTTTCTCATTATAAATACAGGTCGATCGTACATCATCTCAGCAGAGATCAGGCGGGAACTTGGAAACTGAAGTTAATCTGCTAAAAATTAAATCAATCAATTCAATGAGGATTATTCGAAGTGGCAAACATTTGCTAACATTTTTGGGAAAACGATCCAATGCAAAAAATGTGGTATCTGAGAAACTCATAAGGCGATACTCATGTGGAGAACACTCCAAGACAGATACAACAACAAGAGACCTCAAGTATCAACTATACTCTGGCGATAGCAGATCAGTGAAGAACTTTCATGACAGCCTTCATGAATTGTAATTGGCACTGGAGGGTCTTGGAGTAAAGCCAAACGAATGAGATCCACTTTTAATGCACATCCTAACAAAGAGGATGGACAAAACTACTCTTGTGTTGTATGAGCAGTCGATTGTGGATACCAAAGACCTCAAAACGGTGGAACATTTCATGAAATGTTTGATTAATCGCTTCGAATCAATAGAAACAGTCAACGGGATTCATAAGAGCAACCTCCAGATTCTTTGCGTTGGAGCGTCGCCTATCTGAGGATGCACGTTTTCGGGCGCAGTATGCTAAATGTATGAAGGAGTATGAGGATCTGGGACATATGACGAAAAAATCAAGAGAGGTTCGTCATTATTACATCCCAGATCATTGTGCCCCACGCCAAATAGCGACACGACAAAGCTCAGAGTTGTGTTCGATATGTGTTGCAAGTCATCATCTAGGTGGTCACTGAACGATATTTTGCACTCAGGTCCTAGGGTTCAAGGAGATCTGTTTGGAATGTTGTTGCCATTCAGACTACCGAGATTTGTGTTAACAACAGACATTGAGAAGATATATAAACAATTTTAAGTTGATAAAGACAAGGAACTCGAACATTGCATGTTGAATACGTTAACATATTGAACGACGTGCGTCCCATACCTTACTACAGGATGTCTGAAAAGGCTAACAGATGCGGACATACAAGAGCATCCGTTGAGGGCGCTGGTACTTCAAAAACATTTTTAGGTTGGTGATTGCATGTTCTAACAGTTTAGCAACGGCAATTGAGATACAGAATCAAATTAATATGTTACTACTGAAAGCAAGATTTAAACTACGAAAATGGTGTGCTAATCACTTGAAACTGCTGCATGGAGTTTCTCCAGAAGATAGAGAAGCAAATCTTAATTTTGACAAGCCGTCAACGAAGTTATTGGGTTAAACATGGATTCCTTAAGCAGATCCATTTTGTTTGAAGAGCGATGTGATCACCAAGCGGATTTAATAAGATTGTTCGACCCATTCCTGTAGTGTCAGCAGTGAAGATCTTTATTCAGTAGCTGTGGAAGAATTAAATTGGCTGGGACGAGGAACCATCGTTCCGATAAAATCATATGTTCGATGGACAGATTTGTGGATGCCTCAGAAAAGGCATACGGAGCTGTGATATATCTTCGGGCAATTTTACCAGGTGGAAGGCATGTAATCAGACTCCTTTGTTCAAAATCGGAAAAGGCACCAATAAGGAAGATCACTTTGCCACGGTTAGAGCTTGGTGCCGCTGAATTGGGAGCAAAACTAACTGCAAAATTCAAGGACGAATTGGGTTACGAAGATCAAAGGACTTTTTGTTGGCCAGATTCAGAGATTACATTGTATTAGATCAATTCCAAACCTTTAACACTGAGGACGTTCGTTGCCAAAGATGTTAAAAATATATAAGGCCAATCGCAGCTTTCATATCCAGAGGCATGATTTCATATCCAGAGGCATGAATCCGAATCGGCTGTCAAGATGTATGATGTGGTTTTATGTACCCACATTTCTACACGGAAATGAATCTATCTGGCCATACCATTTCTCAAAGAAAGAGGAAATTGAACAGATCTTTAATTTAAGGCGAAATCTACAGTGTCAGCAAGAATGGATAACAGGATATCATCTATGGAATCACCCACAAGGGCTCATTTAGTCGACTACAAAGAACTATCGATTATGTCCTGCGATTTGCCGAAAGGATAAAACTTCGCTAGCATGGAAGCTCGACAGAAGTATTGACCTCTATGGAGCTGAACCAATCAATGCAACTAATAGTCAAGAACATCAGCTGTCGGATTACGCGAAAAATATAGACGTTGCTATTCACAACCTCAAGACAGAAATTGGATCACCAAGGGGAAGGCTATGACACCCAATATTGTACAAAATTGCATAAGGTGCACTCGAGCGAAGCCTAAGTTATACAATAAAACAAGTAAAAAAGCAGTAAATTCGGCCGGGCCGAACTTTGAATACCCTCCACCATTTGAAACGAATTAGAAAATTTTCAAAAAAATTAAACCCAATAAAAATTCTTTTAAAATCTTTAAAATATCTAATATAGGAAGGTGCCGATATATGGAGAGATATACGATATTGTGGACCTATAAAGACAAATCTATGTCTGCGTGTAAAGTACTCACAAGGAACTCCTTGTATGGATTTTCAGATAATTCCATTGGAAAAAGTGGCTAAAATCATAAAAATACCGAATATAGGGGAGTACCGTTATATGGGGGCTATAAGATATTGTGGACCTATATAGATGATTCTCTGCCGAGGTATAAAGTACCCACAAGGAACCCCTTGTGTGGATTTTTAGACAATTCCGTTGAAAAATGTGGGTAAAATCATCAAAATACCGAATATGGGGGGGTACCGTTATATTGGGGATATACGATGTCGTGGACCTATATAGACAATTCTTTTTGAGGAGGTAAAATGCCCACAAGGGACTCCTTTTGTGGAATTTCAGACAATTCCATTGAAAAATGTGGCAAAAATCATCAAAATACCGAATACCGTGGGGGTACCGTTACATGGGGGCTATACGATATCGTGGATCTGTATGGACAATTCTCTGCCGAGGTATAAAGTACCCACAAGGAACTACTTGTGTGGATTTTCAGACAATTCCATTGAAAAATGTGGCTAACATCATCAAAATACCGAATATCGGGGGTACCGTTATATGGGGGCTATACGATATCGTGGACCGATATAGCTCATCTTCGAACTTGACCTGCCTGCAGACAGAAGAGAGATCTGTGCAAAGTTTTAGCTTCCTATCTTAATTCGTTTAGACTGTAGCGTGATTACGATGATTATGATTGATTGTAAATGATTATTTCGATGAGTTACAAACGGAATGACGAACTTAATATTTTTGGTGGAGGGTATAAAAATTATGGGAAATCTCCCACATAGCAGAGTCGTTACGCCTGCAAGGTTGTATATTAAGCCCGGCGTTGATATTGCGGGCCGTTATGGGTCCACTACAAATACGAGGCAAGATACCACACTATGTTAACATTATGTTCGCAACAAAGACTTTGCATTTGGGAATAGTTACAGTCAATTCTTGTATTTAGACTACGCGATAAACTTTGTAGTAGACAAGAGCGACAAGAGTTGGAAACTCCAGACCGCTGAATCCAATTTTTAACGATCCGAATGATCTAGCAACGTTAACACATTTTTATTTTCTTGTGGGAGAACCTTCAACGGTACAGGTTGATACGTCAACGAACCAATCGTCAACATCATTGACAAGCAGATGAAAGGTAGTATCGCAGATTAGACCTAAGTTCTGGAGACGTTGTTCTAAGGAATACCTAAGTACTCTTCAAGAAAGAAGGAAATGAAGTACACAATCGCCAAACTTTGAGCCTGGTCAATCATTAAGGAAGACAACAGCCTGTAATGCAATGGCCCCTAGACAGAATAACACGAACATCCGGGGGTAACGACGGAGCCGTTTGTGTAGTTGACGTAAGGACACAAAACGGCGATGTTAAAAGTGCCATAAACAGATTAGCCCTATATGGGAAAATGAAAAGGAATCTCTACCACTTATACAAAAAAAAAAAAAAAAAAAATCAAAATGATTTAAGACGACAATCTGCATGCTAATATTGGTAACGATTGTGGCTTTACTATTCCCACCGATATGCTTGTGTCAGTCGTTCAACATACACAACTTTAAGAATGAGCCCGGCATCTACTTTGATGGATTTGGAGTCACAATGATAGTGACAGTGTCATGTAGTGTTTAGAATAAAAACTGTGCGATACTTTTAGAAAATCTGTTCAAGTACAGAAGCAGTTGGAATCTAGTACACTGAACATATTTTCCAGGTGCAGCAGACGAGGAGCTCTAAATATAGGAGGGAAACTTGCACACTCGTTATTTGGTGTCTTGGAATCGAAATATGCTTAGCAAATGACTGTGACAATTGAGAAGGCAAATGAAGACAAGAAACATCTGTTGCAGCTGCTAACATAATCAAAATGGATGAAGATATAATAGCCTACGACAGCACACAAGTAGAAATGAACTTGCTGGCAAATAAGGAAGGAAGGAAGGAGGAAGATATTGCAAAGGAAATACAATCAATTATTTTAGTCACTTCGCATCTCATACTTCTTTCATCAATGTTTTAAGTATAGAAGATAATCATCATGTTTAATGGATCGATGTTTTAACGGATGCAAATCATGATCGTATAACTCCATTGCTACTTACCCCACATTAATTGCTGATCGAGCTCCAAACCATCAAGGTTCATATTCCACCATCTCGTGAAGATAACGTGACGGATTTCTTCAAATTAATGAAGAGTAAGGGAAGGGTTATGAAAAACCATATCGCAAGGGCGATCGGTCACATTTATGAGAAGTGAACTTCCTATTGAATAAAAAGTCAGAAGCTTGTGACTTGAAGTCAATCATCCATCACCAAATTTGGAGACAAGTGGCACAAAAGAATCAATGGATGTTTACTCTAGCCAATTGAACACAATTGTCCTATCTATGTGATACAAAAATGACACACTTGGAGGTGAAAGGATCAGGAACTTTAGAGATTAGGACAGATTGTATTTTAAAAGACAACAACTTTACAATATACGATCATTACGAAAACAAAACAATAATGCACACATCATATCTAAGACTCATACCACTGGATTCCATAATCTCATCCAGTAAGCTCGCCTTGCTCAACAAAACCTTGAACAACACCACCTGAAACACATGCTGTTGAGCTCTTTACCTAACACCAGCAGCTAAAAACAATTGAAATCGGAAGTCTTCCCCGACTAATGAAACAGGCATTCATCATCATTGCATCAGCTCTTTGTGTTGGAATTGGATTAGCCATATACGTCACAGTCAGGATTCGCCACTACACAACTTCCAACAATAACATCAATTCAACCTACCCACAGGCTCTCAGTATCATAATCATTACGTCATTGACCAGAAAATTTTTTTGGACGATTTCCGTTCAACGTGGGTGAGACTGTTCCAAAGGACATAATTTTTTGTTTATACATATTTTTACTTTTTATACCCTACAGCACATAGTGGTAAGGGTATTATGCCTTGTGCATTTGTTTGTAACATGGAAAAGGAAGCGAGATAGACCCATAGTTACTTTTGAGGATCTTCATATAGCACTTTCTGAGTCGATTCATGCATGCCAGTCCGTCTGCCCATGTATTTTTGTGAACAAAATGCAGGTCGCATTTATTAACCGATTAAGATGAAAATTTTCAAACAATATTTGTTTGGCCCAAGGTCGAACCCTATTGAAATTGGTGAACCGATGCCCGATATGGATGTAGCTCCAATATATATTCAACCGATTTCGGGTTAATTGTGCACCAAATGTCCAATATCGTTCCTAATGACCTGAATTTTGGCACATCCGACCGAATTCAAGCACATCAAATTTGATGAAAATCGGTTCAGATACAGCTACAGCTCCTATATATATGTTTCATGCTTTTAGTTCTTCATATTCGTAATAAGCAATCCACAACATTGATACCAGATATCAGATACAGGCCAGAAATACCTCTGCCAAATTTTACCGTGGTCGGTTCAGATTTGAATATAGCTCCCATATATATCTTCAACCGATTTCGGGTTAATTGTGCACCAAATGTCCGAATGATCTGAATTTTTGGCACATCCGACCGAATTCAGTCAGAAATTTAGTGAAAATCGATTCAGAATTGGATATGAAATATTAGTTCCCTGTAAAACCACATTACAACTGCTCTAAAGCCATCGTTTTTGTTACGGGAGCTCTACTAAATATGCATAGTAATGTATGGTATCATATAGTCGGCCCCGCCCGACATTTGACTTTTCCTTACTGGTTTATTATTTAATAGTTCTACCATAATTTGTATTTCCTATGTTTAGAATACTGCTTGGTACTTAGTTTTGTCCACCTCATAATTGAGGGCAAAATTATTTCAGAATAGTCAAAGATAATAACTCTTTTAACACATTAGCATAAGACGGTATAATTCAATTACGATTAAGCAAATGCTCGGCCCGGTGCTACTTTTTCATGTTTCTCCAACAATTTCCGACTATCATTTTGACATTTCGGAGTTTATTTCATATAGACGTATACCAAATCCACGTTCCCAACCAATATTCTCTTTGGGGCTATAAATTCAATAGAGGTCTAAATTGTCTTTTCTGACCACACATTAGTTGGGAAAGCGGACTTGCGTGCACACTAATGTGGGGACTGTACTTAAATAAATGCCTATGTGGACCTTTTGTAAGATGATCCTCTACCCCAGTGTATCCTAAATACAATTTTTTAGTCAAATCGATTGATGAATGTTCTATTACGAAAATTGAAAATTTTATGCGAAGAGGTTTTTAACCCCTTAGAAACCATACTACCAAATAAGTGCCAAAAATTTAAAAAACTGTTCAAGATTCTGAAAATAGATTAAATCATATGATGGCTGTACTAAAACGTGATTTGGTTAAAATGTAAAATATACTTAAAATCGGGTTGTACCCTTCCGGGGGCTATGACCCATATCATGACCTGCAAAAGCGATTTAAGGTATTTTGAAAGTATAGGAAGCATTTCTAAAATGATAGAAATCATTTTCTTACAAATGTCCAATTCGCTCAACTATTTTGCGCCATTTATATTCTGTATTTCACCGATTGCAGTCCCAATGAATTTTACATTTTGAGTTCTCATTTGACGGATTATTGTCATATGAAAGGAGTAGGTCCACGTTTTGAAATGAGTTCCATAATGCTTTGTGGGCCATTTTCGTTTGTTTAAATGTGTTCCCATCTTCCAGCTGAAGCGCGACGTTGGTCCTGGAGTTGAAAGCTACATGTCAATTTTATACATTAAATATCGCCATTTAACATCGTATTGTGCACTCATTTCATTTTTAATACCATTCATTCAAAATTCAAAACAATAAAAAATGTACACTTCAATAAATTATGTCAAATTGATTTTTTTTTCATTCACATTTTTATTGACATATTTTCACGCGTTTTTTATACCAAGATACCTTTTTAAAAGTTGTATAAATTGTTAAAATCCGTCAAGCCGTTCTTGGGTTATAAGCGTAGTAACTAACATAACTTTCTTTTATATGGTGAAAATAATTTTTTGTTTTGTTCACAAAGACAAATTGAATGAAATTGACAAAAATAGAAAAACAAATTGAAAAAAGAAAAAATCTTCAATTTGTTCGCGATTTTTTTACCGCAAATGTCTAAAGATCCTTATATTATATTATATTATATTATATTATATTATATTATATTATATTATATTATATTATATTATATTATATTATATTATATTATATTATATTATATTATATTATATTATATTATATTATATTATATTATATTATATTATATTATATTATATTATATTATATTATATTATATTATTATATTATATTATAATAAGGGGTGAGGCAGGGTTACCTAGGTCTCGGAAAGAGCAACCAATTCTCATCAGTTCCCTTGTTTTTTGTCCGGGAATATTCTCCCAGGAGTGGAGAGAGATAAAAATATTTATAAGTGCGATTGTAAGATTTAGAAAAAACTTTCTTAAAGAATTTTAATTTAACTTGAGTGAATCAACAGAACTAGTATCCTGCAATTTTGAGGTAATATGCTATATATATAATAATGATAGACTTACAATTTTGGTTGGTATAACTTGTAGGTTAGCTATGTTGTATGTTTCGGTCACAAACGATACAACTTTGTGCACAACTTCAGTTTTCGTAGATTTTATTTGAGTTAAGATGACACCAGGAATAATTTCATGCTCTTTAATTGATTTTAATATTGATTTATTGATATTAATTTATATATGTACTAGCTGGCCCTGTCCGCGTTGCCGGCCCGAAGTTTTAATCTTTAATGCATAGTTTTTAAAGCATAATAATTCACAAATCTGGCAAACATAAGTGGCACAATTTTTAGTATAAATGATGACTCGATTAAATAGAAATAAATACGTCTTTTAAGAAAGTTGAACCTATTTTTCAGTAAGAGGTTTTAGTTTTAGAGTTAAAAACCTAAATAATATAGCATATATATATTAAAAAGTATACATTAACTGTTTATAATAGGCCCATGCAAGATGGTTCTCTACCCCCAAAGTCCGCATATTACAGTGCCTCTTCATATTCGGTATTTCACTGATTGAAGTCCCAATGAATTTTGCATTTTAGGTTCTCATTAGATGGATTATTTCTTGGGTGGGGAGAGTCAAGATTACGTCGTATACTAACTGTGGAACAGATATCTTCATGAATTTCTTCTGATATTTCTTGAAATATTGGGATTTTCGGGTGCAAAATTTTGCATAAAACCCTAATCGGTGTACAACGAACATTAAAAAAACATCCAAATAGTTCCTGCCGGCCTCAACTGATTCAATTACCAACGAACAACAATTTCTTTATATATAGATACAAAAGTAGGCGTGGTCAGTTCCTCAGTCCCCAAATAAATACTTAGGATTAGAGGGAAAGGCTACAGTATGTCGTGTACTAATTTTAAAACCGATATCTTCATTATTTGGCAAATATAAGGATTTTAGATAAATCGAAATAGTGGGCGTGGTCAAAATTTTTTCTTTAAAACCTAACTCGGGGTATGACGAACGTTTGTACAAAAAATTATGCAAATCGGTCCAGCCGTTCTCAACTGATTCCATTACCAACGAACAACAATTGACTTTTATATATATAGATTGTATTCTGCTTGTTGAGTCCTTTCATTTGATAACCATATTGATGGGATTGATAAAACCTACGTTATCCGCCAATTGGGTATCGGCCGCCATCTTGGATTTCAATCTTTTATATTATATTGTATTCTGCTTTTTGAGCGCTTTCATTTGATACCATTACCGTTACATTTCGATAATAAGCATACTACCTCCAAATTGCAGGATACTAGTTCTGTTGATTCACTCAAGTTAAATTAAAATTCTTTAAGAATGTTTTTTTTTTTTTAAATCATACAACGGCACTGATAAACATTTTCATCTCTCTCCACTCCTGGGAGAATATTTCCAGACAAAAAACAAGGAAACTGATGAGGATTGGTAGCTCTTTCCGTAACCTAGGTAATCGCTGCCTTACCCCCTAGTAAACATTACCATCTTTTTCCACTAACAAACAAACGTTTCTATAAAAACAACAATAATGGGATTAAGCCTGTCTATTTAAAAAAAAATAATACGGTATCCCGATCAAATATGCCAGCACTGTTCTATTAATAGATGGTCGACGATGAGGTTTTTGTTGTAACAGACAAAATCAACTTTCATGTTTATGCTATTTCGTTCATATAAACGAAAGCATGACAAGGGGAGAGCGATGAAAATGTTTATAAGAGCGGTTGTAAGATTTAGAAGATTTTTTTAAAAACTACACCCGATTTTCTTTTTTGGCTATTATAAAAAAAATATTGTTTTCTGGCAAATAATTTTGTTTCTCGAAATTGGCTGTTTATGTATTTGTCGTCAAATAATAATTGGTCAGATTGTGACAAAGAAATATTTGATATTTTCGTCAAATAACTTAATATAAAATTATATAAAAAAACTTCTTTTGGTAACAAAAAACACTTTAAACAAGTAAGCAAAGGCTATAGTCGTGCGGGGCCGACCATGTAATACGCAACAACACCACAATATGGTAGAAGCCCCTTTATGTCCAAATCCATTTTGGAAGACTTCGCTTTTGAAATTATGTCTGTCCAGATATTAACCTTAGCTTCTTGGCCAGGGACATTTGCCCAATATTTACTCTGTTGTGCTGTTAGTTGTTGTGGTCCATTTTACAGCTAATATAATCCAATGGTCATCCAAAATGCTACACTTACGCACTCTGTTGTGCTGTTAGTTGTTGTGATCCATTTTACAGCTAAATATAATCCAATGGTCATCCAAAATGCTACACTTCTTCCCTGTCCTTAACACTCTTCTCATGTAAAATTCCGTGTCGAATGGTTTCAATTGTGTGATCAGTAAAATTTTTCTGTTTTTGGTTCATTTGAACCACTAAATATTTTGCGATCAGCTCCAAATGCAAGAGGCCCCTCTGTATCTTCAAATTTAGACTCATTTATATGATTTGCTTGTCTACGATATTTGGCTATATATAAAAATCAACTGTTGTTCGTTGGTAATGGAATCAGTTGAAAACGGCTGCATAATTTGCATAATTTTTTTTACAAACGTTCATCATACCCCTACTTTTACGCCCACAATCTTGATTTATCTAAAATCTTTATATTCGCCAGATAATGAAGATATCGGTTTGAAAATTATTACACGAGATACTGTTGACTTTCCCTTTATTTGGGGGCTAAGGATCATATCAAATAAAGTTGTGTTAATTGCTACGCGTATAACTCAAGAACCGCTGATCTGATTTTAACGATTCACACAAAATCAGAATTGTTTTTTGGAAGAAATAGATAAAATCCCAAAAAATCGCGTAAAAATGTGAAATTTTAACATTTTCATTTTGACTTTTGTGGTGTGCAATAGTAATGTTTTAATTTGAATGATTTTTTTCCATTTTGACTTACTATTTTGGAATGTACATTTGTAGTGTTTTTTTTTTTTTTTTTAATTGAATTCTAATACGATGTGTAGTCTTTTTGGGTAGTATAAAGCGACGACAAATATGGAGTGGTGAACCTAAATAGATGATGTCAAATGGTCTGGCAACTCTGCTCGCATGCAAGTGTTTTTTTCTGTGTGTCGTCAAGCAAATAAAAATTTAATTATATTTTCGCAGTTATTGTGTCTTTAGAAATTATAAATTGTGATTTTTTAAATATATACATTTCAAGAGTTTGCAAAAGTGAGAAGTTTTTGTGAAACATAGTGTTTTTATACTATTTTACAAAATTTAATTTTGTGCGCGTTGATCATTTTTTTGTGTTTTAATATTCTTTTCTGTGTTTTTTATTTACAACGTAGTGTTTTTTCTTTTGTCTTTGACGTTTGTGCCTGATTCCCTTTTGCTGTCCTGTACGTATTAAATATTAAATTAGCTTTCCTGAGCATACTTTTAGGCTGTTACTGTAAATTTGTTATTACACTATTTCCCTAATACACTGTTTCCTTTAGTATTTCGAATTAACATGGATTGCTCGAACAAAAATTGCAAAATTACTAGTTTTAAAGAACGTTTACTAACATGTTGGCTATGCGATAAGCATGAACATTTAAAATGTGCAGGTCTTAATGGCCGCCATTTTGATGTTCTTACTGAACGCGAAAAATATGGTTTACGTTGGGCATGTATTGGTTGTAGGCCCTTAGAAATTAACTTTTATACTCACTTCAAAGAGTCTAAAACTGAATTAGCAGCTTTGAAGAAGGTTTTCGACGAAGCATTTTTAAAGCTTCAGAATTTTGAAAAAAAGTTTAATAATTTTCAATTCCCGGATGGATCTCCGAAACGAAAGAAATCCTCAGTTTTTGTACCTGGTGATGATTTGATCCGTTTAAATTCACCAGCTGTGGCTCAGCCACACAACGCTGCCAAATCTTTTGGCTCGGACATCCCACCCTCTATTGATGATAAAACTATTGAAATTGTTACAGGAAATGCTCCGGTCGAAATGCAATCTTCTAAAACCGTACCTATAGCTTCTCAATTCTTAGCGCCTGCAATTGTTGTTAACTCGTCCAGTACAATAGCTAATACTATTCCTGTAATTTCTACTGATAACACTAATAAGCAAACGTTATCGTCTCCACGTTCGGCAGAACCGTTAAGGGAAGCTTCTGTTACTGCAGAATCTAATAAGCCTTTCGTTCTCACCAAGCCTCGAGCGGTTATAGAAACAAAATCTGTTCCTGCAGATACATTTAAAAATAATCTATCTGTTTCTGCAGATACTATTAATGAAAAGTCTGTTTCTGCAGACATTAACAATGTAATCCTTACGCCTTCTGATTTAAATGAAAAGTCTGTTTCTGCAGACAATAATAACGAATTCCCTATGCCTTTGCCTACGGATCAACTTATTGTTGTAGCGCCGCGTAAAACTATATTTGTGTCTCGATTGCATCCCGATACTACAGTTGATAACCTTCGGTCTTACATAGAAACAAAAATTCCAAATTTACCTGATAATGGCATAAAAATTCTTAAATTTAACAAGTCCCAACCTCGCGATATTTCATCATTTAAAATCATTACTCCTGCTAAATTATTTAATTTAATAGTTAATAGAACGTTCTGGCCGGATGGATTGTTGGTAAAGGAATTTGTATTTAGGGAAAGAACAAACCCTGTTAATTTACCAGTTAATCTTTCAGTTGTACCATTGTCAAAAAACTAACTAAATCTCTATCTCTTCTCTATCAAAACGTGAGAGGTCTTAACACTAAACTTAGAAATATTTATTTAAAATCCTTTTACTGTGATTTCAAAATTTTGGTATTCACGGAAACATGGTTAAAACCACAAATTCGTGACACTGAGATTTTATCTGATCAGTACCAAATTTACAGAAAAGACAGATTAAATAAAATGGGTGGAGGAGTTTTTATTGCCGTTCATAATTCCATTGCCTCAGAACGTATTTTGGTTACAGAACACCCTAAGATTGAATTTGTTTGTGTTAAATTAAACTATCTAAATTGTAATTTTATTATAACTTGTTCATATATTCCTCCAAATTCAGACATGGATACTTATCTTATGCATTCAGCCTTAATAAAAGAGGTTTCATTATATCATTCCTCCAACGCGGAAATGATTTGTCTGGGGGATTTCAATCTGCCTAATCTAGCATGGGTCCCAGGAGAAAATATTGTAGATTATGTACCAGTATCTTCTATAGAACTTTCTACTGAGATGTCATCTTTTTGGGAAATCTTATTTGAGCAATGTCTTTATCAAATAAATTATATCTATAATGCAAAAGGTAAATTATTAGATTTAATTTTTTCTTCATCCTTAACTTCTTCTGTGTGCAGAATCCCTCCTTTCTCAGAGCCAGAGGATATGTATCATCCTACTCTTATGGTAGCCATTGAACTTAGTAACATTCAAACAAAACTTACTTCATCTCAAAATAAGTCGCGTAAGTTAAACTTTGGCAAGACTAACGTTGATCTGTTGCGTTCTACATTGTCCAATATAAATTGGTGTTTTGAAGGTAATTTGGATTTTCGTATTTCAAGCTTTTATAAAATAATTAACAATGCATTAGAAACCTCAGTCCCACTTGTGAAAATGTGCTGTGATAGGGGTCCAGTTTGGTTTACCCCACAACTTAGGCGCTTACGTAACATAAAAAGCAGGTTATTTAAAAAATTTAAAAAAATCAATTCTACCATAAACCTTACTAATTATACAAAAGCTAGAAGTTTATACAACACTGAAAATTCTAAATGTTACTCTGAATACCTAGTCAAGATGAGAAACAGCCTCTATAAAAATCCTAAGAACTTTTATAAATTCGTTAATTCAAAAAGAAAAGTTCGTGAATTTTCCAGTAGTATGCGATTCGGAAGTAGAGAATCGTGTGAACCTAAGGAAATAGCAGACATGTTTGCAGATTTTTTTCAAAGTACGTATTCCAAACATTCCAATAAAGGTGTAAAATACTCTTATAGTATTAATAAACTTAATCATTTTCCTCATATTATTCTCACATCAGATGAAGTGTTGAAAGGTCTACTTTCATTGAAATGTTCTAATTCACCGGGTCCAGATGGTGTACCGTCTTTCATTTTAAAGGCATGTGCACATGAACTATATCTTCCTCTATCAAGTATTTTTAATACTTCGTTAACCCTAGGGTATTATCCTCTTATTTGGCGTTCGAGCTTTATTATTCCATTGCATAAAGCTGACAGTCGATGTGTTATTGAAAATTATAGGGGCATTGCAAAACTAAGTGCAATTCCCAAACTTTTTGAGCGTTTGGTTACACAACGAATAACTCATTTCGTTACATCTATAGTATCACCGCACCAGCATGGTTTTGTTAAAGGAAGATCAACTTTGACAAATTTATTAGAACTGGTCTCTAATGTTCACACTGGATTCTCAAAAAATCTCCAAACTGATATTATATATACTGATTTCAGTAAAGCTTTCGATACGGTGGTGCATAATTTGTTAATATATAAACTTGACTTAATGGGTTTCTCTACAATTCTCCTAAAATGAATATCGTCTTATTTGCATGACCGTACCCAAAAGGTATCTTTTAATAATACTCTCTCTAAAAATATTACAGTATTTTCTGGTGTTCCTCAGGGTAGCCATTTAGGTCCACTACTTTTTGTACTTTATTTAAATGACCTTCCATCTATTATTCGCAATTCAAAAATATTAATGTTTGCTGACGATGTTAAACTTTTCTGCACACTTGATTCCCACAACGAATCGCTTAATCTGCAACAGGACTTGTATTCTCTTGCTCATTGGTGTAGTGTCAATGGAATGTCATTAAATTTAAAAAAATGTAAAAAATTGTCCTTATATAGATCTCAGCATATGAATTACAACTATTTCATTGGTTCTTACAAACTGGATAATGTTGACTCGTTTCTTGATCTTGGTGTCATATTAGATAATAAATTACGTTTTAATCTACATATTGAGTCTTGTGTTAATAAAGCAAAATCTTTACTAGGATTTATAAAACGTTGGTCAAAGGAATTCGACGACCCTTATGTAACCAAACGCTTATTTATCAGCCTTGTTCGACCTACTTTAGAATATGGCTGCGTACTTTGGAGTCCTTTTTATAAAATATACTCAAAAAAGATAGAGTCTGTACAGGTTCAATTTCTTTTGTTTGCTCTGAGAGGTTTAGGATGGAATTCAAATGAACTACTCCCACCTTATGAGAATCGGCTTAAACTTATCGATCTTCCTACACTAGAGAAAAGGAGATTAATGCTTAGATGTATTTTTATCATAAAACTTTTGCGTGGTCAAATTGATTCTGAGTTTTTAACTGGTGAAATTAAATTCAACGTCCCCACGCGAAATACGCGTTATTACATACCACTTAAACTAACATTAGCAAAATCGAACTATGAAATAAATAATCCTCTCCGAAGTTTATGTGCTGATTATAATAAATTATACAACACGATTTCTTTGTGTGAACCCTTGCATTTCATAAAAAACTCTATCCTACGTTCTTAGTTTATAAAATAGTTGCCAGACTTAGTTTCTGTGATTTAGTATTTGTATTGTTTAGTTTTACTGTAGTTTAGTTTAGATATTTTAATTATTTTAATAGTTAAACCGGCTGATGTTCTAATATAGCCGGTTTCCCAAGTCTACTAACCTCCTATAATCCGGACTATGGGGTGTACGTGCTCCCTACGTTATGGGGAGGTGGCCCTCTCGGTCGGCAGGGGCGGGAAAGTGAGGCGTTGGGAACGATCGAAAAAAAAAATAATTTAACGTGGTCAAACCAACGTTAAAGGATAATTACTTTTTTCAAAATTGCTAAAAAATCAAAAAAAAGCCTATAGCATTGCAAGAACTCTAAAATTGGGAAAAAACATTTTTTTCAATGGAATCAAATTTCAAAATAAAAGTAAGGACCAAACTTCGTAAGGACCTTTAAACATTCGCTGTAAAAAATCTGCGAACAAGTTGAAGATTTTTTTTTCAATTTGTTCATTAGTTACTATGCTTACAACTCAAGAACGTTTTGACGGATTTTCACAATTCATGCAACTTCGGAATGAAATCTTGGGAAAACATGCCAATAAAAATATAAAAGAAAAAATCCTTTTGGCGTGAAATGTTTTCAATTTAATAATTATATAAAAGTGTACATTTTTTATTGTTTTGAATTCTGAATTTATAATTAAAAAATGGAATAGTACCAAATACGATGTTAAATAGCGATCTTTCATGTCTGAAATTGGAATTTAGCTTTCAACTCCAGGATCTACATCGTGCTTCAGCTCGAAGATGCGAACACATTTAAACAAAAAAAAAAAAAACGGCAGAACGTTATGGGACTCAAAAAGAAGAGGGAAAAGGATTTCCATTCTTTCAGAAATTCTTCCTAAACTTTCTAAGGTATCGTGATCGCTTTTGTAGTTCTGGATATTGGTCATAACCCCCGGATAAGGATACAATCCGATTTCAAGTATATCATACATTTTAACCATATTTTCATACTAATTTCGGCAAATGTTGGTAATTTGGGAAGACACTATCCTTGCAAAAAATGATCACGTTTTGTATAACCATCATATTATTTAAGGAACCGGATATTTGTTTAATCGTCTTTGAATTATACTATGATAAAAGATATGGACATTATGGGGTCTCCAACGCGCAATTTCCATGACAAATACTACTTATTACTTTAAAAAACGAGTAAAAAATTAAGTTCGACCGGGCAGAACTATTATTATCTTACCTTAGGATAAATTAAACATTTTTTATAAAAGTACCTGAATTGAAGCGTGTTTCACTTTAAACTTCAAATACCAGAAAGATGGTTTGGTTAACTTAGTCAAAGTTAACTTATCAAAAACCATAAAGTGATATATATATATATATATATATATATATATATATATATATATATATATATATATATATATATATATATATATATATATATATATATATATATATATATATATATATATATATATATTATTTTTACCATCGTTCTCCACTAATAAACTAACGTTGTTTTTATAAAAACAACAAAAAAAGGGGATAAAGCCTGACCATTTTACAACAACAAAATACTACGGTATCCCGAACAAACAAGCCACACTGTTCTATTAATAGACAAGGCACGGTCGACGAAGGGGTTTTTGTTGTAACAGACAAAACCAACTTACATGGTTATTCTACTTCGTTCAGGTTGAACGAAAGCATAACAAGTGGAGAAAGATGTAAATGTTTATAAGTGCGGTTGTAAGATTTAGAAGTCTTTCCAAAAGAATTTTAGTTTTATTTAATTCTTTGGTTCCTCTTCTATTGAGCTTACGATCTCGTCACTTGGGTAAAAAATGTTTTTTGTCATAGAAGTTATTTTTAAAATAACTTCTGGGGAGAATATCCCAGACAAAAAACAAGGGAACTGATGAGGATTGGTGGCTCTTTCCGAAACCTAGGTATTCCCTGCCTTACCCCCTGGTAAACATTACCATCGTTCTCCACTAATAAACTAACGTTGTTTTTATAAAAACAACAAAAAAAGGGATAAAGCCTGACCATTTTGCAACAACAAAATACTACGGTATCCCGAACAAACAAGGCACACTGTTCTATTAATAGACAAGGCACGGTCGACGAAGGGGTTTTTGTTGTAACAGACAAAACCAACTTACATGGTTATTCTACTTCGTTCAGGTTGAACGAAAGCATAACAAGTGGAGAAAGATGTAAATGTTTATAAGTGCGATTGTAAGATTTAGAAGACTTTCCAAAAGAATTTTAGTTTTATTTAATTCTTTGGTTCATCTTCTATTGAGCTTACGATCTCGTCACTTGGGTAAAAAATGTTTTTTGTCATAGAAGTTATTTTTAAAATAACTTCTGGGGAGAATATCCCAGACAAAAAACAAGGGAACTGATGAGGATTGGTGGCTCTTTCCGAAACCTAGGGATATATATATATATATATATATATATATATATATATATATATATATATATATATATATATATATATATATATATATATATATATATATATATATATATATATATATATTATTTTTACCATCGTTCTCCACTAATAAACTAACGTTGTTTTTATAAAAACAACAAAAAAAGGGGATAAAGCCTGACCATTTTACAACAACAAAATACTACGGTATCCCGAACAAACAAGCCACACTGTTCTATTAATAGACAAGGCACGGTCGACGAAGGGGTTTTTGTTGTAACAGACAAAACCAACTTACATGGTTATTCTACTTCGTTCAGGTTGAACGAAAGCATAACAAGTGGAGAAAGATGTAAATGTTTATAAGTGCGGTTGTAAGATTTAGAAGACTTTCCAAAAGAATTTTAGTTTTATTTAATTCTTTGGTTCCCCTTCTATTGAGCTTACGATCTCGTCACTTGGGTAAAAAATGTTTTTTGTCATAGAAGTTATTTTTAAAATAACTTCTGGGGAGAATATCCCAGACAAAAAACAAGGGAACTGATGAGGATTGGTGGCTCTTTCCGAAACCTAGGTATTCCCTGCCTTACCCCCTGGTAAACATTACCATCGTTCTCCACTAATAAACTAACGTTGTTTTTATAAAAACAACAAAAAAAGGGATAAAGCCTGACCATTTTGCAACAACAAAATACTACGGTATCCCGAACAAACAAGCCACACTGTTCTATTAATAGACAAGGCACGGTCGACGAAGGGGTTTTTGTTGTAACAGACAAAACCAACTTACATGGTTATTCTACTTCGTTCAGGTTGAACGAAAGCATAACAAGTGGAGAAAGATGTAAATGTTTATAAGTGCGATTGTAAGATTTAGAAGACTTTCCAAAAGAATTTTAGTTTTTTTTATTTCTTTGGTTCCTCTTCTATTGAGCTTACGATCTCGTCACTTGGGTAAAAAATGTTTTTTGTCATAGAAGTTATTTTTAAAAAAATAACTTCTGGGGAGAATATCCCAGACAAAAAACAAGGGAACTGATGAGGATTGGTGGCTCTTTCCGAAACCTAGGTATTCCCTGCCTTACCCCCTGGTAAACATTACCATCGTTCTCCACTAATAAACTAACGTTGTTTTTATAAAAACAACAAAAAAGGGATAAAGCCTGACCATTTTGCAACAACAAAATACTACGGTATCCCGAACAAACAGGCCACACTGTTCTATTAATAGACAAGGCACGGTCGACGAAGGGGTTTTTGTTGTAACAGACAAAACCAACTTACATGGTTATTCTACTTCGTTCAGGTTTTAGAAGTTTTTGGAACAGTCCATGGCCCTATGCGCTTGGTAACTGTATTAATTGAAAATAAAAAAAATATTTACCCTATACATGTGTCAAAGTCCTAAAATGCTAATGACTAGACAAAATGCATTATGGGAAAATAGTTAATGTAAAAAATAAGTAGAGGCGCTGCTCACAACAGAAACATGTTAGCATAAAAACATAGTTACAGAGGAGTTTTACGAATAAAATGTACTGTAGACCAAAAATTTGGGCTTAAAATTGTCCATTGACATTTGAAATTATGGTATTATAACAACATCCCCCTGGTCACAATATTTTGATTCTGACTAGTCCTAATTTAATGATGTTAACAACGCCACCTTCATGTTAGTCACAGCCGGTGGTCAAAAACAAATAATACTACGTTAACTACATACATATTTTAATATAGATTTGATTGTTTTAAATTATCTGTATGATTTACATATAGTATATGTAAACTTTAATTTATAAGTATATATCACTTACTTACCTGCCAAATTGGCTTATTTTTGCTATCAATCGCACCAAACTCTTTTTCGTGTGCTCTTGTTAAAACCTGTTTATATAAAATTTCAGCTTCAGCATACTTCCCTTGCTTTAAATAACAACTTGCCAAATTGTTCTTAGTTTTGGCTACATTTGGATCATCGGGGCCAAGTTTCGATTCATATATTTCTAGGGCTCTCTGGTAGTATTTCTCAACTTCATCATATTTTCCTTGATTTTGGCATAAAAGAGCCAAGTTATTTAGTTGTTTTGCAACATCTGGGTGATCTTTTCCTAATACTTTCTCTCGAATTTCAAGAGCTCGTTTGCACAAGGGCTCAGCGTCTTTATATTTACCACGTTTGCCATAAAGGACAGCAAGATTGTTTAGAGTCGCTGCAACAGCAGGGTGGTTTTCTCCCAGGGTTTTACCCCTTATAGACAATGCATCATTTAATAAGTTGGCCGCTTCCTTGTACTTGTTCTAAAATGAAGAGTAATAATAAAATAAAAGAACAATGTAAGTTGTGCTTAAACCGTAAAATCATTGACAAGAAAATTAATATTGAATTAGAGTTAAACATTCACAGTAGGTTTCGTGCAGAATACCTAAATAAAATGTGTAAATTTTAACACTTTCAGCACTTTTTGTTATTATTACTTATTTATTATATCGTTCATACAAGTAAATAAAATACCAAAGTGTTCATATGAAAAACTATTCATATGTTAGGAACATTTTAAGCTATTGAAGTTTTTCTTTTTTGATTCTGAGACTCGAGAGCTTAAAACTGTAATAAATTGAAGAATGCTTGCCTGTCATCTTCTACACAATTCTTTTTACGTTTTATGCAAATTAACGATTCCATAATGATCTTGTTGGTTTTATTTATTAATGTAAAGGATTCATGTGTTGTGGACGTGACGGAAATAAATATCATCACGTAAATCAAATGACCTACAATGATACCCTTTGGGACTTCAATCTTTATTTTAGGAGATTTTCAATGGGACTATGGAATTTCAAATGTCCTTTATAGTAACTTGAATTTCATTATGTTATAATAAGTGGCTGAATGACTTTGGTTAAATCGAGATATGGTGTAAAATACATATTCAACAGTGTTTAAAGTGGCTGGCAGTTTGCCTTTGAGATTTACTATGCTGTGCAGTGTGGCCATTTTTGCACCTAAATTTAGCATTTATTTTTTGTATTTAGCAGCAAAATTTTCATTTAGCATTTAGCATTTTTCTTAGCTTTTTGAAATTATTAGTTTAGCATTTCTTAGCATTTTTTTTGTCCAAAATTTTTTAATATTTTAGTACTTCCTTATAAATCCAATTTTTCTTAAATCTAAATAATTAAATTACATGAACATTTTGAACGAAATTATTATTTTAGAAAAGCAATGGCAAAAGCTAAGTACATATGAATGGGCAAACATAAACTCAACGATTTATTTTTGGATATGTGTATAAGAATTTTAAAATGCTTTAAATGAAAAACCAAGATTTTCTCTAGTTTTAGTTTAGTAACACAGAAGTTGGAAGAGTTTTCAGTGGCATGAACCTTATAAAAGCAGAAATTAGAAATAGAATGATCTTATACACCATGAATTCACTAAATTAGAAGAGGATTGAAAAGATTAAATAAAGGTTGTGAAAGTTTTAAGATTACAAACGATCTCATTCTAATCATCATTCGGTCTCGAATTTTCACTTAGCAGGACTTATAAAATTTAAAAACAGATGTTGGACCTTATTGGTCATCCTTCCAAATAACCTTCATGGATCTGGAACCATTTTTTTTTAAACCTGTCATCTCTAAGAAATTTCATGCTTTGGACCGAAGTAATGCATATTCTTATAGAATTTGCACTATATTGAAGCTTAAAAAAGGAGTCATGCTAATGGCTATTCAGAATAATGTTTGTAAATTAAGGTTTCTCTATATGAATTGTTGTAAAAAAGATTTGAAGTGCGCCATTCTTGTATTTCTTAATTCGCCTGGAATTCACTTTCAGCATTTCGGTGGAATAGACACTTTGGTATTTTTTCCCACAAAAATTGGGGCCCATTTTTCCGCTAACTGTTATCCGATGGCCATCCAAAATGCTTGGCAGGACCGATACCAAACCCCCACTTAAAATTTCCTAAGGATCGGGCGATAATTATGACGTGTCAGAAAACTTTCAGTTTTTGGTCCATTTGGACCCCTTAATATCTTGCGATCATCTCCAAAAACATCAGGCTCCTATTCTTACACTAACACCACCTTCATATAACATTTCGTGAGGATCGGGCCAAAAATGTGCCCTGTATATAATATCCTAACAATATAGTGTTGTAAGCAGTAAAAATATTACAAAATGTAAAATTCAATATTCAAAAAATATAAGAAAATATCACAACTCAATATTTTCATCTTTATTGGGATCTTTTCATGAGTTTTTGTATAGATTTCTTTCTTTCATGTCAAGAGGGAATTCTGAATTGACAAGATTAGTCAAAATCAGTCCAGCTATTTTTTAGATGTAAGTATTCTAGCGAATATATGTCGCTATACAAACATCTAATACCTTTACTATCGACATCTACGTAACGGTCAGAATTTACCTTTTCGTCTTTTTGTAATTTCACCGGGATTAAGAATATTCGCGGTTTAATGGGAAAATTGTTTTTTTTTTTTTTTTTTTTTTTAACACAATACTTATGGTCTATTTCACCCGCTCAATATTATCCGATGGTCATTTAAAATGGAAAGCTTCTGCCCTATTGTGACCTGTAGCGTGCTTGCAAATTAACATAGCTAGATCGGCTCAACTCAGCGAGATTGGAAGACCAATATATACTTTCCTATGTGGGAAGCCAAAATTTCGAAGTGTTATATAATTTTTGCCCAATCAAACTAATAATACCCCCAACACATAGTGTTGCAGGGTTTAAAAACGTGTTTATATTTAGCATTATTATTTGGCATTGTGGCCACACTGATGCTGTGGCTGTGAGAACGTCGCAACTCAGTTGGCAGTCAAAGTCATCAAAAATAAAAACCGCAAACATTGCTTTGATGTGTTGCGAACACATCGACATTACCTAACTTTGATTGTGCCTTTGCTGTGAAAATGGTGCAGAACAGTTGGCAGTCACAGTCAGCCGAGAGAATAACGAAAACTCTAGCTGTGCTGTGATAATTTCAACATCATATGATGTTTTCAGTGCTGCGATATCGACACAGCACAGTTGACAGTCACGTTCATTAAAAACGAAAATGTTGTCGTGATCAGTTGCAAATTCCATGACTTTGGCTATAATGTGGCAACAGATGTTCTTTTTGATAGCAGCGACCACCATACTATGAAATATTCACAGCGCAGTTAAAATCACGTGGAATGAAGATGATAACAGCACAGTACAGCAACAGTATTGGTTGGACTGTAACTGCCAGCAGTCTATATTTGTGTTTTGCTGTTTTTTCATACTTCGGCAATTATCTGGGTGGCTACGTTTTTCATACCACATCTAATCCAGCCCTGCGGTGAAATGTCATTTTACAGTTGTCTACATTTAGGTGAAACCACAGAGTGTGTGCTTTGCATTATAAGTAGTAAGAAGTAAATTTATTTACTTCAAAACTATTTAGATAGCCTGGTTCAATGGTGTCCACACAATTTAAGTATGGATTTAAATTTAAGCAAATGTAAACATATGTGCTTCTCCAGATCTTCTTCCTTGATATTGCAATATAATATTGACCGTCATTTATTACCAACTGTAGACTCATTTGTCGATGAAACCAAAACTAAATTTTAAAAGCTAAGTAATAACAATGGTATTTAAAGCAAATGATTTTCTAGGTTTTGTAAAACGGTGGAACGGAGGAAATGCGGGAGTACAATACGTATAAAGTTTGGGTCAATCCTATGAAGACCAATAGCATACGACTTAGCGACTTGAAAACAATGCAGTACTCATCAGGTGTAATCCATAATACGAATTATCAAAAATGAATTTAAATTCGTCGATTTTATTCTGTAGACTCTGAGAATTAATATGTGATACATTTAAACAATTTTTAGTTGCCCAGTATTTTAACTAAGTTACGGTCTTGGAGTCTCTATTCACATTTTCATTTCATTTAATTACATTCAATACAAAGAAAGCCATTGGAGGCCAATTATGCATGTATTGGTAGAAATTAACAGTAATAAGAATCAGAATGACCCCCAAGCCATATGAATATTGTAAAATTAAAATAAAGTTTAGGATCCCACAACAGTTATTTTATGCATCGTATTCAACATTGAAATGCGATTTCAATAACTTCTTATATGTGGAGTAAGAATAGCCAAATTTTCTCAGCAAACTTGGAAAACAGTTCCAGACTCGGTAAACACGAACTAGGAAGGAGTGTTCAAAAGTAGAAGTTCGTACCAATGGAGCATCAATTTGTATATTACGCGACATTTCACCCTCCCCATTAGCTATTCAAAATTGTTTTTTAAATTGCAACAGTAATGCCCGAATATTTCAAGCACTGCAGAATTTTTTTCAATTTCTAATCCATGTCCTTATTTTCTACTACCCATGTTTCTCCATGTCGTTTCTATCCATGGCCATGTTTTTCGTAGGAATTTTATATATATTTTTCGTAGGAATTTTATATATATATATATATATATATATATATATATATATATATATATATATATATATATATATATATATTAAGAAAAGGTTAAATAAAGGTTGTGAAAGTTTTAAGATTACAAACGATCTCATTCTAATCATCATTCGGTCTCGAATTTTCACTTAGCAGGACTTAAAACATTTTAATAAAATCATATAAAATTTAAAAACAGATGTTGGACCTTATTGGTCATCCTTCCAAATAACCTTCATGGATCTGGAACCATTTTTTTTTAAACCTGTCATCTCTAAGAAATTTCATGCTTTGGACCGAAGTAATGCATATTCTTATAGAATTTGCACTATATTGAAGCTTAAAAAAGGAGTCATGCTAATGGCTATTCAGACTAATGTTTGTAAATTAAGGTTTCTCTATATTAATTGATGTAAAAAAGATTTGAAGTGCGCCATTCATGTATTTCTTAATTCGCCTGGAATTCACTTTCAGCATTTCGGTGGAATAGACACTTTGGTATTTTTTCCCACAAAAATTGGGGCCCATTTTTCCGCTAACTGTTATCCGATGGCCATCCAAAATGCTTGGCAGGACCGATACCAAACCCCCACTTAAAATTTCCTAAGGATCGGGCGATAATTATGACGTGTCAGAAAACTTTCAGTTTTTGGTCCATTTGGACCCCTTAATATCTTGCGATCATCTCCAAAAACATCAGGCTCCTATTCTTACACTAACACCACCTTCATATAACATTTCGTGAGGATCGGGCCAAAAATGTGCCCTGTATATAATATCCTAACAATATAGTGTTGTAAGCAGTAAAAATATTACAAAAT